CATCTTGGTTTTGCTACTTTGAAGCTTAATGAATTTGTAAGTTGTGAGTTATTTTCTTTAATCTTCTTCCTTGAATATTAATTCTTCCTTTAAAATACTATTTCTATATCAAAGTTGGGGAGTGTTACTAAGATGACAATTAGTTAACATCTTGACATTGGTTATAGTAATAGCTATTTCTTTTTCTATGTTAATATTGGGGAGTGTTACTAAGATGACAATTAGTTAACATTCATATATTAATCATAGTAGGATTCATATTCTTTAATATTCTTCCTTGAGTATTAATTAATTCATATTCATATTTCATGTTAATATTTTAAACATTACTTAAAGTATCAACTAGTATTGTTTCTCATATTAATTATTACTAGAATTGATCGGTTAATACGCTTGTTATTAATCCGGTTCTTTCAACGGTAGTAAACTTGGAATATTAATGCATGCATCTCATGGTTAATATGCCAAGGGGAATTAATTATATTGATTAAACCAATAAACCGCTTGTGTTGAGGTTATCAATCTCAATCGTTTTCATCTTAAGTTTATTGCTACTATCAAGTTAATATACGGCGCTTGTTCTATATTGACTCGATAGTAAGTTTTATTGATGAACGCATCTCGTTATTGATAACTACCCTCGATGAACTGGATATACTCCTCGATTGAGTATTCGAGAGGAAGATAGTTAAAGATATAACCGGGATCGACGAACATTTCATTAAGCGGATAAAAGCAAAACCAAGTCCTCATCTCATTAAATTAAACTCATATAGGTTGTTCATCTTAGTGTTAATTAAATTCAATCAAATCAAACTTAAAACTCCCCTTGTTACTATTGATAAAAGAGAAAAATATTCCTTTCCCTGTGGATACGAACCTTACTTCACTATACTACGTATTAGTGTTGTATTGATTAATTATTTTGAGTGCACCTCACGACAAGTGCACGTCAAATTTGGCGCCGTTGCCGGGGAAAGGCAATTACTTTTCTTTTTATTTTATCTCATAAAAATCAAAAACAAATATATATATATATAATTTCTTGCTCTTCTATTTTCTGAGCTTACATGAGTTATGAATATATGGATACCAACACTTCATCCTTAGAGAGTCAAATTTCCTTCTTGACTTCTCTAATAAAGGAATCTATCTTTAACTCAAAAGCTCAAAATGCTGAGACATGCAACATTGCATGTCTCACAGGCATCTTACGGACTTCTACCCAAAGCTCCAAGAAGAATATCTTGCACAAATTGATGATGTACCTCACATGAGGTATGATCCATTCTCCAGCTCTAATATGTCCACGGAGGACATGGTTCGGGCTCTTACTAACAGTGTGACCGCTATGCAACAAAACATGGTACAATTCCAAAATGAGACCAAGACTAGCATTTTGAACTTGGAAACTCAAATGAGTCAAATAGCCGGAGTCGTGAGTAGGCTTGAAGCAAGGGATTCAGAAAACCCTCCTTCTCAACCAGAATGTGATCCTAAACAACAAACTTTTGCAATCACATTGACAAATGAAGAGGAGATGCAAAAGGAGATCCAGAATCCAGAAGAAGTAGAGGAAGAAAAAGACATGGAGCTCCAACTGATCAAAGAAGAGGATAATCTGAGCTTCAAGGTCAAATATCTATCCTTGTCATCTTTTGAGGTACCCCCATCAATTCTAAAAATTTTGAGCGAAACTCATAAACTTGGAAAGGACAATGACACTTCTGAAATCCTCTTCAAAATTGAGGGGGAAAAACTTTTCATTGACCATAGTAAACGATAAATTCTTCCCTTTCCTCCCACCGCATGAATCAATGACAATCTGGATATTTGATCCTGGAAAGATTCTCAAATTGAAGAGTCGAGAAGTTGAGCACTCCTATGAACGTCCTAGGAGTGAAGTGTGAAAAAGATAAACTATCATGATCCAAGTCTGAATGACTGAACACAATGATGGCGTCATGCCGCGACGTTAAATAAGGCGCTTCTTGGGAGGCAACCCATGCAAGGTATGTTTTCCTTTATACTTTTTCAGTGGAGCGTGTGTGCGTAAAAAAAAATGGCCTGGGATTTAACCCGGCCGGGTATAAAACCCTACCCGGCCGGGTTACCTCTTAAAACACAGCACCCGACCAACCGCCCGGGCAGAACAAAGAATAAATCAACCGCCCGACCGGGTAGAGCCCTATACCCGGCCGGACAACCCAGCAAAAAACTCTCTGCCTCGGGTGAACAGCTTACACCCGACCGGGTCAGTCACTATACCCGGTCGGGCGGTCGGGCAAAAAGCCCGATAAGGGTGCGGGCGGGCAGCTTTTCTTCCCCATTCTCTTTTCTTCCCATTCGAACCACACCCCAAATTTCCTCCATTTCCAAAAGTCAAAAGCTTCATATCTCCTACATCCATCCACCAATTAAACCCATTTCATTCATCACCTCTTCACCCTTTTCATCTCCACACCAGAAATCACCAACAAAACCTCCCAAAAAGTAACAAAAAAAAAACACATTCATCTCAGACACAAGCACTAGGGACAGTGCTTTGATTAGCTTGGGGGGAGAGTTTTATGGAATACTCACATTCACACTCTTTATTCTTGTAAAAAATATATTTATATATATAAAAAATATAAAAGCTTGTTAAGTTGAAAACCCGAAAGGGCAACTTAAGCAAAAATAAAGCAAAAATAAGAGTGAGTTGTGAGGATTAAAACAGAAAAATGTGGGAAGCTGAGATGAAAACCCGAAAGGGCACCTAGGCAAAATGAGAGAACGAGAGAAAGTATTTTCTTTTATTTCTGCAGGATCCTAACGGTATCGGAAAAAAAAAGGTTGAGGTTGATAAAGAAATATGGAGTTGAAGACCCTCTTTACTGTTATATTTTTGGGGATATACTTTATGTGTTTCTAAAAACACTCGTGGATGTATGTGTTGATATTGTTGTCATTTTAAGGACTTTTTGGACCAAATTTGATTTACTCGAGACGAGTAAAGGTTTAAGTGTGGGGGTATTTGATATGCACTAACTAGTAGTGCATAAATATATATTTTTATGATTGATTTGTGTGTATTGTTTACCGTTTTATTTAGATTGTAAACATTTGTGTGAATTTAGTTGTAATTGTATTTTAATCTTCATTTAGTAGTTGTAAAGTAGAATTAGGAATTATGGTTTTGGAAAGGAGAACTTTGAAGTGTAGAAAAAGGAATTTTTACTGCCCAGGAGCAAATACCCGACCGGGTAGAAGACTTCACCCGGTCGGGTCTGATTCAACAAACGAAAGTGCCTGGAAAGTGGACTCACCCGGTCGGGTCCCCTACCCCACCCGGTCGGGTCTGACTTGACCCGGGACACTTTAACATGCTGAAGATCACCAGAACGTGGAGGATATTTGATTTTGACATGCACCCGGTCGGGTGGGCACTTTACCCGGTCGGGCACCCGGCCAAAGGTGTTGTAAAACACCTATAAATAACCTCATTTTCCTTCACTTTTAGATATCCCTTCTTCCATACTTCTAAGCTCAGTATAGAATAGTTCTTTCTTTATATTTTTCATCATGTTTAGTCTCCAAATGAGGAGCTAAACTCTTCCATCTTGGTTTTGCTACTTTGAAGCTTAATGAATTTGTAAGTTGTGAGTTATTTTCTTTAATCTTCTTCCTTGAATATTAATTCTTCCTTTAAAATACTATTTCTATATCAAAGTTGGGGAGTGTTACTAAGATGACAATTAGTTAACATCTTGACATTGGTTATAGTAATAGCTATTTCTTTCTCTATGTTAATATTGGGGAGTGTTACTAAGATGACAATTAGTTAACATTCATATATTAATCATAGTAGGATTCATATTCTTTAATATTCTTCCTTGAGTATTAATTAATTCATATTCATATTTCATGTTAATATTTTAAACATTACTTAAAGTATCAACTAGTATTGTTTCTCATATTAATTATTACTAGAATTGATCGGTTAATACGTTTGTTATTAATCCGGTTCTTTCAACGGTAGTAAACTTGGAATATTAATGCATGCATCTCATGATTAATATGCCAAGGGGAATTAATTATATTGATTAAACCAATAAACCGCTTGTGTTGAGGTTATCAATCTCAATCGTTTTCATCTTAAGTTTATTGCTACTATCAAGTTAATATACGGCGCTTGTTCTATATTGACTCGATAGTAAGTTTTATTAATGAACGCATCTCGTTATTAATAACTACCCTCGATGAACTGGATATACTCCTCGATTGAGTATTCGAGAGGAAGATAGTTAAAGATATAACCGGGATCGACGAACATTTCATTAAGTGGATAAAAGCAAAACCAAGTCCTCATCTCATTAAATTAAACTCATATAGGTTGTTCATCTTAGTGTTAATTAAATTCAATCAAATCAAACTTAAAACTCCCCTTGTTACTATTGATAAAAGAGAAAAATATTCCTTTCCCTGTGGATACGAACCTTACTTCACTATACTACGTATTAGTGTTGAATTGATTAATTATTTTGAGTGCACCTCACGACAAGTGCACGTCAAGATACTATGAAGAGACACTCACATCATCAAATATGTTCTTCTACGTTATATAATAAAACTAAAAATAATACGGAGTACTACGTGTAAAAATAACACCTTTTACCCTGTACACGACACGTGTAAAAATACTACTCCCTCCGGTCCGTATTAAAGTTCTCACTTTCCTTTTTGGGATGTCCCTTATTTAAGTTCACACTTCCATCGTATGAAACAAAACAGTGCAAAATAGTGCCAAAAAGTGTCAAACAGTGTCCAAACAGTGTCAAACAGTGCACTCCACAGTAAAGACAAATTTATTTTATTAATCTGTGTGAAGTAAAATTGGGAACTTTAATAGGGACCGGAGGGAGTAGTTTTTTAATAATCAAAATAAATAAAAATGAAATTATTTTTTAAGTGAATTAACTCAAATTTATTTAGAAGACTATTTGCTTTAAATATATCAATCCCGTTCTTGCATCCCTCCTCGCTGTCAAAGGCTTGTCAGAATCCTTTCTCCCATAAAACTTTCAGTTTCAAATTACGCTGGAAGTACTAAAAAATGAGAAGAGTGGAATTCAAGCCGTAACTGCATCAAGGTGTCCACACTGACATGGAAGCTCCAATAAAATGTGCGTTATACCTTGGAACCACTTGTTCTCTCAGCTTCCAATGCTTCTCTAGTTTGTTTCATCTCTTCTATTTCCAGTTTTATTGAAACTTACTTTAAAATCCGGTGTGGACTATTCGGCTTGTGCGGTTGCTCGTGGTCATCTATGTATTGCTTGTTTGCTGGAAAAAGTGCCAGTGATAAAGAGAAGCAAAATGATAGGGAATTCCACTTTTGTTTGTATGGCCTTTCTCGTCCATGAATGGAATATTTTCAGATTTGCAGATAGTAATTAATACACGGAGTACATGGTTGCATTGTTGTTTTATGATCGGTCCGATACTCCGATGCGAATTTCAGAAATTTTGGTCGTTTTGACTTTTGAAAACGTTTGTTTTTTGGAATTGTTCTTATATTTCTCTCGGACCTTAAACTTTATCAGTGTTTAGCATAGTGTTCATTTTCAATCTTACTGAGTGACGTTTTTGGATCTAGATTTTCACCAAACTGATGGCCTAAATAGATGGTTAAGTTTTGTTATGGGATTGTTGTACTAATGAAATTAGTTAAAGTACGGTTGACCATTCACTATCATTATCTTTTTTCAGTTTTCATTTGATGATTCTAAAAGGTATACGATATATCATATATGATATATATTGTGTGATGAACCAAAGAATAATTATACTTAGAGTGATTGTGTTGATTATGAAACCTGGAAACAATATTGTTTTTGTTTTTGGATTTCTGGTTTTTGTTTTAGAGAAATAGAAAACATAAAAAAAAAACTGACACGGAATGAGGCCTAAGGTGTTCATTTCAAACTTCTGTGTGATTGTGGAATTGGAAATGGATGTGATTTTGAAGTCTTCTATTTACTGGTGAGGCAGCAGTGGTGCACTGGTAATTACTTGTGGGTTGAGTTTCAATTTGAACATATATGCTGTTTTAATTAAGATTTATTATCTATATGGAAAATTTAATCTGTTTTTTTGGCAGTGTTGTTCTCAGAGTATAAAAACTATTTTCAATGGGTGGATGCTTAGACAGCGGATAGTGTTCAGCACAGAAAAGAAAGAATGAAAGACCTTCCATCTGGTTTAATTATTGGGATTTCCATTGGGGTGGTGATTGGAGTAATTTTGGCTGTACTGGCACTTTTATGCCATAGAGTACACAGGAGACAGCCTCATATAGGGAATAGCAGCTCAAGGAGAGCTGTTACAATCCCAATTCGTAAAAACGCTGCTGATGCATGTACAGTACTGTCAGATTCCTCTGTTGGCACTGAAACCCCAAAAACTCCTATCCAATATGGGACGTCAATGTTGTTTGGGAGCGTTAGAAAGTCAAACGTGGTATCTGCAACTCGGATTCATGAGTACTCATACAAGTATGCACTTCTATTTAAATGCACTATGTTGATGAGTTCTTATGATTTTGACAAACATTCTTGAAAAAACATGCTATCCAACTATTGTATGCACACTTGGTCTTGAGTGAAATTTGTCTGGATCTGCATTTGACATACCATATTTCTTCTATAAAAAGAACTGCAACAATTTGAGTTCAGGCCTCAATAATCGCAACAAATTTAAAATATCGAAGTAAGGAATGGATATAGACGTGATTTTTTTAGGAAGATATAGAAGTGAATTATTCAATCATACCCTAGTAACTTCCTGGTTATTTGACTGAGTTCAAAACATAGGAGCTATTCATATGGTTGGTTGGAATGAGTATACATATTTTTGTATTCTTGGGGCACACTATCTTTTGGTAACACATATTTCCAGAGAACCTCACATTTACACTATTCATCGGTGTTTGTAGCATGCTTGTTGGTCTATTTGTATTCCCTGGTTTGATGGTATTGCATTAAACTAAGTTTCTCAATGCATGTCTTGTGATATACAATCAACTACAACCTTTCTTGTACATGCAGGGATTTACAGAGAGCAACTTGCAATTTTTCCACATTGATTGGGAAAGGGGCATATGGGCCTGTATACAAAGCTCAGATGCCAACTGGTGATACTTTTGCTGTTAAAGTGCTTGCAACAGATTCTACACAAGGACAAAAAGAGTTTCACACAGAGGTATCCTTTTAACACTGCCACTGATGATTTTATTTTTTAATGGTGGAAATGTGGAACCTGGCTCTGTACTTTTATATCCTTCACTTAGTACCTGAAATTTTGAAGCAAGGAGTGCATCTATGATGCACATAAGCTTCGTTTAGATTATTATGGATCTCGAATTACTGAGAAGTTTGTACTTGCTCTTAATATAAAACAACAGTGAGCTAATTGACTCTTCTTCTCCCTTTAATCCTTTATTTTCTCCTATGCATCTGATTTTTTTAATCTTTCTATGTGCCATAAATATTTTTGGAAGTTTCTGTTGACCATCTGGATCCATTTGTTCTTAGGTTATGCTACTTGGAAGGTTGCATCATAAGAACCTTGTGAATTTGATTGGATATTGTGCTGAGAAGGGTCAATACATGCTTATCTATGTTTACATGAGTAGAGGTAGCTTGTCTTCACATTTGTATGGTAAGTATGGAACCATGGTGCTTGCCATAGGATGATTCTATTGGTTAACTTTGAATCCTTACTCTTCACAAAGTCATCTACGTGTAGACAGTGCAGTTCTATTGGTTTATAATGGCTGTATCAGTTAATAGGTTTAGTTTAGCGGGGAAGTTATTTATGTACTAGATGTTAGGTCTGATTCGTAGACCAGGTTTATATTAATGGCTTAAATCTTCTCTTCCATTTGTTATAATTGTAGATGGACTATTGGAGCCGTTGAGTTGGGATTTGAGGGTTCAAATTGCCCTTGATGTAGCAAGAGGCTTGGAGTATCTTCATGACGGTGTAAAACTTTACTCTTGATATTTTTTCATGTGGTTGTAATGTTCATAATCATATTTTCTAATTTTTAATTTTTAGCATGTGTCCATTATTTTTGTCTTCAGGCAGTCCCTCCTGTGATACACCGAGATATCAAGTCTTCCAATATTTTGTTAGACGAATCCATGAGGGGCAGGGTATGGAATTGCTGAATTAGTGTTTTTGTTTTCATATCTTTCTTGACCTTTAGGAAACCATATACGGAGTACTACGTATTGAGCTAGAATTTTTTATGTACAAGGTCATGGATCTGTTTGGAAATACTTATTATACCGTTTGATAGCTACTGAGTACTGACTAGGTAGCAAATGGATGATAACCCACAAAGTTGTGATTCAATGGAACAGGTTGCTGACTTTGGTCTGTCAATGGAAGAGAGGGTTAACAAACATGTTTCTAACATACGGGGAACATTTGGATATCTGGATCCTGAATATGTATCAACGAGGACATTCACCAAAAAGAGTGATGTGTACAGCTTTGGGGTATTACTCTTTGAACTTGTTGCTGCAAGAAATCCTTTTCAGGGCCTTTTGGAGCATGTTGAACTAGTAAGCTTTCTCCTCGAATTTGCCGATAGCTCCCATCTTTTATGTTTTTTTCATATATTTAGGCAATGACATTCCCTTATTTTTGGTTAACCTCCAAAAAATCATGGCAGGCTGCTATGACAACAGATGGTAAGAGCGGATGGGAAGAGATAGTGGACTCCCGTCTTAATGGGAAGTATAATGTCCAGGAACTTAATGATGTGTCAACCCTTGCATACAAATGCCTCAACTCTTTACCCAAGAAAAGGCCTTCCATGAGGGAGATTGTGCAGGTTCTGGCTCGGATAATCGAATCCAGACGTAGGTTGCAGCATCACAAGCAGTTATCTGCAACACTAGAAGAGGTTAGCATCAGTGTAGACCAGCTACATCAGCGGAGTCCAATCTCTAGACACCGGCGTGTTGAATCTGCAGATAGCACCACTGAATCGTGTTAGATTTAATGACTACAGTTCCCCAGTTCAACTCCAATATCTTCCTCTTTTCTCATTACGTTTTGTAATATAAGTTTGACTGTTTGACATAGGATCTAGGAACTAGGCAGTTACAACAGTCTAAGATATCTCTTTACAATTTTGCTCTTGCTTTTTTCTTTTAACTGTGTTTCTAGTTAATTTAGAAGCCAATACGGGAAGCTGGACAAGTCATAAGTGACGTTGTTAAGTCCTTGGTATGAGGTTCAAGTTCATTAAGTTTTGGGCCGCTTTTCTGGAAAGTGTCATCTGCTACATTTTTTTCTTTCCGACCTATATGGGCGTGGCAATCACATGTTCGTCTTTTATCCAGCAATGCAAGCAAAATCTACTGCGTAAAATTTGGGCACTACTGATACTGAGCACTTGTTCTGAATTCTCTTATGTGTGTACAAGAAAGTCAAGGTCTTTAGAACCAAACATGTGTCTCAAATCTCAACCGGTAAAGGTTCACTCTACTCTGATTAATTCAGACTGATAGTCAAGGTCATTGAGAGTTGAGACCCTTACCAGTAGAATAGTCAATAACAACAATCACCCTGAAATTAAAGTTATTTACAATTTTACACGTCAAAGATGAATGGGTGAAAATTTTAAATTTGTGTCTAGTAGTATTCACCCTTAAAAGTTGTGCAACCCTTATGCATAGAGCGGTCAAAGTGAATATGCTCGATCCAAAGTGAATTTAGACAACGGTTTGATTCACTATACGACGAGTTTAATGTATCAAAGCCTCTTCTGAAATAGGAATTCAGCACATTAACCTCTTAAAAATGCATCAAACCTTCTATGCTATAATGATTTGTGCGCATAACCCCTTTTGTGAATAATTTTAATATCATTTTTCTTAATATTATGATTGAATATGTAAGTAATTTGTCAAAATCTCTAACAAAAATGTTATTCATTTATCTTTTATTTGACAATTAAATTTGTACATAGAAGAAATTTTGTGCATGATTAATAATAACATATGAGAGTTTGATGCATTTTTTAAATCAAATGAGTTGATGCGTTTAATTCCTATATCATAAAAGGGTTTTGTGCATTAAATCCTCTGTGGTCTACGAGTTAAATAGTTCAACTACTTGCAAAAGTTGGTCGAAGAGCCTTTGTCAGCGACACATTTTGTAATTTACACTATAGTAATGTGATACTCATAATAACTTTAACTAAACTTTAAAAAAATATTTGATTTCTTTGTATTAAATGGAACCATTAGTGTAATTCTCAAATGTTTAAATTTGGAGAAAGGACATAAATTTCACCACTAACTTTCTTTATGAGATACAAAAAAAAAGAAATTAATTTTCCTATTTTTCAAAAATATGACAAACCTTTTATTTAATTTGTTTATTTTTTATTGTAATTTATACCCAATCTCCGCCCCAACTCCTACCCCACCTCCCAACCAATGCCGGAAATTACCACCAAAAACCATCGGTCACAATGATATGTTTCACAGTGGCAATGACATTTGTGACGACGACAGTGACATCTCTTAGTGACACAAAAATTTTACAATGACTTAAAAATATGGTAATAACATAAAAATATATGATATGACATAAAATATGACAATAACAGCATATCTTTCAAAAATATTACCTTATTTGTCACACATTTATCTATATGTAAGAACTAAGAACGATAACTTTTGAAAATGAGTTTCAATTTAGTGATATTTAAGAAAAATACATATATGGGGTAGTTTAACAAATGTCAAGCTAACAAAAGCACTAGCTTAAAATTGAGAAGGGGTGTGAAACATATATGGAAGTTTCTAGAAATATGAGTTTTAATAATGTGATGTTTTAAAATAGGGGTTAGGTCACTAATATTACTAAAAATTAGCAAATGGATAAAAAAGTTAACTTTCTCTTTAATTTCCAAAAATGTGACTAATTAACATTACACTTACTAAATTACCCCTGACCCCTAGTGACTTTATCAAACAGTGATCTAGTTCGTCACTGTGACATACCATTCAGTGACCTCCGTCATAGTGACTTCCTGTTCAGTGACTAACGTCTGCTCATTCAGTGACCAACGTCTGCCCGTTCAATGACCAACGTCTGCCCGTTCAGTGACCAATGTCCGCCCGTCCAATAACCAACATTTGCCCGTCTAGTGACCACCTCCTGTCCAGTGACCAACATCCAGTGCCCAGTGACCAATGCTCTGGCCAGTGACCACCGTCATACCCTACCAGCGCCACTGTCGGACATCGCCACCGACCTCCATAGCCGGAAACCGCCGCCGACCACCGCCCCACCCCGAATCGAACCCCCCACCCCTCCCTAGCCCTCAGCCACCTTCCAGACCTAGTCCCAGCCCCAATCCTTGCACCTTTGCTACCCCAGCTTCCAAACTGACATTAATCAGAAAGCCAAGCCTCAGCGTAATCACCGACCTACGTCGCGGTCTCAGATGTGAAGCTTGATGCCGCCGCGCTGCTGAGATGAAACCCTAGCTGCCCAGATCTAAACATGTAGGTGCTTTGATTCGAAAGCCCCCGCTCCCACCTTCGCTCTTCTTTAATTATGTTCCGTCTGCGACCGTGAATCCATTGGCGAGGTTTTCTGCGTGGCGGTGCAGATCAATCGCGACGGCGTGAAGAAAGAGAACAGATACATACTTGTGATGGCGTGATGGAATAGTCGGAACGGGACGGGGGGCGGCGACCGCCGAGGCATAGGACGGGGGTGGTGACCGCCGCAACACGGGAAGGGGCGATGACCGCGACGCCTCTCGACGGTGGTATTGGAGTCTGGGAGATGGGGCATGTGGAACGGCTGGCTGAAAGGATTGGGCTACTATAGAATTTTATATCATGGTCATTTTAGTCTTTTCATTTTAATTATAGTCTCTTTTCTGTCCAGATGGAGAATAATCCTATTTTTGTCTTATTGATATGTGGAACTATTATTCCGGTCATTCTTTCTTTAAAATATGAATATCACGTTTTTCTCATATAAAAAAATTATTGTCATTGTGAATTATAATATCATATTTTAGCATTATCAGTCATCAATATGATAATATTAATACTACAATTAGCTGCATTAGTGAATTAACAAAGTATTCTTTTTTTGGAATATTATACTCCCTATTAGTTTTATTCAGAATTCTTTTGAAACACTTATGAATAACCAATCATGACAATTGTAAAAAGAGTAACTAAAATTTTTTTTTGACTTTTGTTGATGTTGACTCCAGAAAATGAATACAATCTGATTTACATCACCTGTTCCTCAACTGTTAATCTATTTACAACATTTTCAATGTAACAATCTGCACAGTGTATACATGAAATGAGAGATCCAAATACATAAAAACTAATTAATATAATATTTTTCTTCTCATTTGAATGGTATTATCAATATTTGATAATTCTTTCTCCAAAATATCAAGAGAACATCTAGATAGAGACATTGCGCTTGACGGTATTACCAAAAATAAACTAAGATATAATTTTAATAAAATTTATAGTAAGTGGCCCGACATTTACCCCTCCAAATTTATAGTAAGTGGCCCGACATAGTAAGTGGATTTTCAAGGTAAAAAAAAGCTAAAATATAAAAGATCGAGGAAAAAAGAGATAAATTTCATTATATTAATTTTGAGTGCCTATACACCACATAAATCGTGCATAATATTACGAGCCCGTTTGGTAACGCTGTTTTTCGTCTTATCAGGCTTATTAGCCAACTTTTTAACCAAACACGTAACTTTTTATTTCACTGCCTGAATAGTGTAATAATAAAAAAAAGTAAGGTTGAAGTTATTTTTGTGACTGTATTAGCTGAAGTTACCGTAGATGCTCATTTTAGTTATTTTTCATGTATTTTTTTCTTAATTTAATTCATAAAATATTTTTTTAGATGAATCAGTCGATACAGACACTTAAGCCACAACTTCGTAGATTTCGGTACAACTCAATCACTTTTTTATTCAACCGGTTTAGATGATATCTTGCACTTTTACACCTCAATCAGTTTTTTATTCAACCGGTTTAGATGTTATCTTGCACTTTTACACCTCAATCAGTTTTTTATTCAACCGGTTTAGATGTTATCTTGCACTTTTACACCTCAATCAGTCTTTGAACTACTCGAGTAACAGCTAAGAAAGTGGGATTGGACTAACATCTTGAATTACGGATGGGATTGGAATTTGGAAGATCTGACTTCATGCTTTCGCAGTGCCATGGGACTGTACTTGGCAAGTTGGCATGACTGAACGACTCTTAAAGAATGAATTTGGTTTGTTATTTATCCATGTTCAAGAAAAATGGTTGTTTTATTATAAGAGGCTTACTCGTATGATGATTCCTCGGCCAAGTCTCTAATCTCTTCCTTTGCTATCTAGTCTAGTTAATGCTTGGCACATAAATGGAAGTTCTACAGCAACCAATTGGAAACAAAGCAGCTGAAGAAGGAACAGAGACGGGAAACAGATTAACATATTGTGTAACAGGAGGCTCAGGTTTCATAGGATCCTGGCTACTCAAATCTCTCCTCCACAAGGGCTATAATGTCAATGCCACCGTCCGCCATCCAGGTCCGAAAGCTCTTTCTTCCCTATTTCATCTTCTGTTTATATTCTTGCTCATCAATCTCGTACGAATTCATTGGTTTGAACCTGTTTGTGCTGTTGACTGTGATTATTTTTTGAATTTTAATTTAGAATATTATAATCCGTTTGTTTTATTGTATCTGGAATTTTTAGTACATTACGTAGTAATGTAAGTGTTGATTCCACTTTTGATCCTATAGATTTTATGTCAAATGGATATTTGCGTGTTGTCTTTGGCTTTGACCCTTTTTGGTACTCAGACTATAGTTTCTTGCCTATCTGTGGTCTTCTGTCCAAGTTCTCGGAGCATTTCAGGCAACTTTAAGGGCCAAAATTATCCACGGGAGGACATAAAACAATATTCATGTACCAAAAGGTGGACCAAATGTGGAATTGGTGCAATACTCGTGGGACCAAAAGTAGAATTTATTCTTAATATAATGCGGGGTACTTATTTGCAAGAATAATTCATAGTATATCTCAAAATGGTTGTTTACAAGTGGCGTGAAGATTTCCATCCATATGATGTTTACGGTTTAGTGTTCACCTCACTAGTATTCTTAATTAAATGGTTCCTCTAGTGATTCTTCATATTATAATCTCTTAACTTTGACCAGAAAAGGCGCTGCATCTGTTAAAATTGTCTGATCGGCTGAAAGTGTTCAAAGCTGATCTAAATGAAGAGGGGAGTTTCGACGAGGCAATTAGAGGATGTGATGGAGTATTCCATGTAGCTGCATCAATGGAATTTGGTTTACAAGAAAAACATAATTCTGGTAACTTTGTTTACTCATATATGCAGTGGCAAGTTCTAGGATTAGGGTGGAATACCGGTCCGGCTTGAATATGCTACATAATTGGTAATATACATGCTATTTGTTCATAAATGGAAGGCTAATCATGTTTCTGAAGTAGCATGAATTAATGGATCTATATTGAAATACTCCCTCCGTTCTTTATTATCTGTCCCGCTAGCCTTGGGCACGGGTTTTAATAGAAAAATAGTAGGGTAAATGTAGAGTGTGTAGGGTGAATGATAAAGTAGGAAATAGAGTATATTAAAAAGAGTAAAGTGATGATAAAGTAGGAAAGAAAGTATATTACGTAGAGTAAAGTTATGATAAAGTAGGAAAGAGAAATTAATTTGTAAAAAGTAAGAGGGGTAAAAGTAATAAAAGTGAGGGTATTTTATCAAAAACTTTCCTAAAATAGAAAGAGAGACAAATAATTAAAAACGTCCCAAAAAGGAATGCGAGACAGATAATAAAGAACGGAGGGAGTAGTATTAAATTGAATTTTCTAATGAACATGTAAATTACGAGTACTATACAATAGTAGTTAATTTTATGTTTAATGAACACAAATAAACAAGCATTTACAAAGAGCTTATTCATGAGTTATTTGCTGATGCCCATTGACATCCCTGTCTAGGATGCCTGCTAGTATGCACTTTACTATGTGCTTACATGTATTCCAGTTTAGTTGGACTGTTCTCTACTGGCATACTAACTCTAGAATTTATGTAGCTCTGAATTTAGGATTTTGGTACAATGGAAGAAATGGAAACAACACTGACTCGGTTTTTTATTTGTTCTATCTTGAAGATACTTATGTTCAAGAACATGTGATAGACCCTGCAATCCGAGGGACAATTAACGTTCTTAAATCTTGTTTGAAAGCATACTCGGTGAAAAGAGTTGTTTTCACATCATCAATCAGTACAATGACAGGCCAGGATAGTTCTGGAAAATTGAGACCTGTGGTTGATGAAGCTTGCAACATACCAACACATGTATGGAAGACTAAGCCAAGTGGATGGGTATGTATAATGTTGCACTGTTTAGGTACTCATATGTTAGACATGCAGCAAGGCAGCCGGTGGAATTTTATAATAAAGTGTATAAAAGAAGAGCTAATAGGGATGCTGCTAATAACTAATAACTAATAACTAACGGGTTAGTTAGTTAGTTATTGTCCCTGCGTGGACATTACTATAAATAGAAGGGCTCACCTAGCTGAAGGTAGTTTTAGACTCTTGGCTAGAACAGGACTGGGAGATTAGGCATCTCGAATTGTCCACAGCTTGTATACTTTGATCTGGTGAATAAAGTGTGTGTATTGTGTGTTGTTTCTTGAGAATTCTGTATTCGATATTGCATGATCTATCATTGGTATCAGAGCATTACGCTTCTGGCTATTACAGAAGTGCGAAGATCCAGAAATTTTGTTCGTTCGAAGTTGGATGGTTAAAACGAGAGGAAAAATGGATCGTCGTTTGGATTCGATGGAACAAAAACAACAGGAGACGCAATCTGCATTGGAAGTTCTCGCAGCTAAGATTGATGCGATGGCGACACAGTTTCAGAACCGAGGAAGGTCGCGAACACCTCAAACTCATCATACGAGGAATTCGCGCAGTCCGATATACTCCAGAGGTAATTCGGTTAACTCTCCTGTCCATAATGCTCGACGTAACAATGAGTATATGAGAGCACAGATTAGAAAGGTAGATTTACCTTTATTCAATGGCGAAGGAGCCTATAATTGGATCATACGCATGGAGAGATATTTTCGTTTAAATCACATTGCGGAAGAAGAAAAAGTTGAAGCATCTATGATCGCGATGGAGGATAGAGCACTTAATTGGTTCCATTTGTGGGAGAATCAAACTGAGGAAACAAGTTGGGATGCTTTGAAGAAATCTGTCATTCGCAGATTTCAACCAGAACTGATCTAGAATCCGTATGGACCAATGCTAAGTTTGAGACAAACTGGAAATGTGCAAGACTATCGAGAAGAGTTCGAAATGGTGATAGCTCCACAATTGCATATGGATGGGGAATTGCTGCGAGGGGTATTCATGTCAGGTTTGAAGGATGAGATAAAATCTTAGCTGAAGATGTATGCATCCAGGTCTTTAACTGAGATCATGGATAGAGCTGTACTTATTGAACAGAAGATTGAAACACAGTTTGGGAAAAAGAAAGAAGAGAACAAACTGCCAGTAAGGGAAAGAGGTTTTGTACCAGTTAAGGGACAGAGTTGGGGAGATAATTCCAGAGTGAAATCTGGTTACAATTGGCCATCTCAGAGTAAAATTGTAGCTGAGAATAAGTATAATAATACTTGAATGGACAAGATTGGTAAGAAGACTATTGATTCTTACCCAATTGGAATTAAAAGAACAGGACCCCTGTTATCTCAAGAGGAATTTCAGGAAAGAAGTAGAAAGGAGCTATGTTTTAAATGTGGTGAAAAGTGGAGTAAAGAACATACTTGTAAATTGAAAAATTTCAAGTTAATGTTGATTGAAGAATCAGTTGAGGAAGAACAGTCAGAACAAATTGAAGTCACCATACCAGAAAATGTCTGTAATGAAGTAATGGAATCTAAGTCTATGCAGTTATCCTTGATGAGCAAAGAAGGGATTCCTACCATGAGGGCTTTCAAAGTGCAGGGGATTCTGATGGGAGAATCAAGAGAACATGTGAATGTGTTGATTGACAGTGGGGCTACCCACAACTTTATTTCACAGCAGTTGGTTGAGCAATGAAAACTGCCTTTTCAGACTGTTTCTGATTACAAAGTGCAGATTGGCAATGGGGATCATATATCCAATAATAAGAAATGTCCTCAGTTGAGATTGAACCTACAAGGAGCTGAGATAATACAGGATTTTTATATCCTAAATTTAGGGGGCACTGATTTGGTATTGGGTATGGATTGGTTGACAAGTTTGGGAGATGTGGAGATAAACTTTCAGAAACAGAAAATTAAATGGAAGCAGTGGGAGCAGGAGGTGTGCATTCAAGGAGATCCCAAGCTGAATTCAATGGAAGTGTCATTGAAAACATTTTCACAAATATTATGTGATAATGGAGATGGTTACTTCTTATATTGTGAAGGGAAGAACATAGAAATGGGGCAAGAAGGAGGGCTGGAAACAATTTGGAAGCAGATTTTGGAAGAATTTCCAGAAATTACAAAACCTAGAGAGGGTTTACCTCCCAGAAGAAACTGTGATCACTCTATAACTATTCAGGAAGGAGCTAAAATACCTAATATCAGACCTTACAGGTACCCACAGTATCAAAAGACTGAAATAGAGAAGATTGTGAAAGAGATGCTTGATTCTGGGATTATCCAGAATAGCAATAGTCCTTACAGCAGTCCCATACTCTTAGCCAAGAAGAAGGATGGTGGTTGGAGGTTCTGTGGAGATTACAGAGCCCTTAACAAAACCACAGTTCCTGACAAATATCCAATTCCAGTAATTGAAGAACTACTTGATGAACTTGGGGAGGCTACCATATTTTCTAAGTTGGATCTCAAATCTGGCTACCATCAGATCAGGATGAAAGAAGAAGATAGGATGAAGACAGCTTTCAGGACACATGAGGGCCATTATGAATATTTGGTGATGCCCTTTGGTCTAACTAATGCTTCCTCTACCTTCCAAGCTTTGATGAACCAGGTACTAAGGCCTTATTTGAGGAAGTGTGTCTTAGTCTTTTTTGATGATATCTTGGTATACAGTAGAACTAAGGAGGACCACATAGAGCATTTGAGAGCAGTCCTATCTGCTTTGAGGGATAATCAATTGGTGATTAACCCAAGGAAATGCTCTTTTGGACAACCTCAATTAGTCTACTTGGGGCATATTATTTCTGGAGTAGGAATAACAGCAGACCCTACCAAGATTGAAGCCATGGTTACTTGGCCAAAACCTCAGAATTTAAAAGAGTTGAGAGGGTTTTTGGGGTTAACTGGCTATTACAGAAAATTTGTAAAGGGGTACAGTAAGATTGCAGCACCCCTTACACAACTCCTAAAGAAAGACAGTTTTCAGTGGGGAGAACAAGCTACACAATCTTTTGAGGAGTTAAAAAGAACCATGACTTCACTCCCAGTCCTAGCTACACCTAACTTCAATAAGACATTCATTCTGGAGACTGATGCTTCTGGAACTGGTTTAGGTGCAGTTCTCATGCAAGAAGGCAGACCTGTGGCTTTTATGAGCAAGATATTATCTAAAAGAAACCAAAACAGATCAGTCTATGAAAGAGAGCTCTTGGCTATTGTGTTAGCAGTACAGAAGTGGAGACCCTGTTTGTTGGGAAGAACTTTTGAGATTGTAACTGACCAAAAGAGTTTGAAGTTTCTGACAGAGCAAAGATTGATGGGTGAAGAACAACAGAAGTGGACTTCTAAGTTGTTGGGGTACAATTTCATCATCAGATATAGACCTGGGATAGAAAACAGAGCTGTTGATGCTCTGTCTAGAAGACCTATGCTTCAGTCTCTTTCAATTGTGACATGTCAAGAATGGGATGGGTTGGAAGAAGAATTGAAGGCTGACATCAAATGTGCAGAGTTGATTCAGAAGGTGATTTCTTATCCAGATCAATATTCAGAATTTCAGATCATTAAAGGATTGTTATATTATAACAAGAGACTAGTTCTACCTCAAGGATCACCCAGAATCACAAAGATCATGAGGGAATATCATGAAACTGTCATGGGAGGACATTCAGGATATTTTAGAACCATGAAGAGAGTATCCAGTCTTTTCTTTTGGCAAGGTATGAGGAAGGATATAAAGAAGTGGGTGGAAGAATGTGTGGTTTGTCAGACTAATAAATATCAAGCTTTGAAGCCTGCAGGACTACTACAACCACTTCCTATTCCAAATAGCATTTGGACTGACATTAGCATGGATTTCATTGGAGGATTACCCAAATCACAAGGAAAGGATAATATACTTGTAATTGTGGACAGATTAACTAAATATGTTCACTTTATTGCTTTATCACATCTCTACAATGCTAAGGAGGTAGCTGATGTGTTCATTAAAGAAGTGGTCAGATTACATGGGTTTCCTAAAACTATAGTCAGTGACAGAGATAGTGTTTTCCTCAGTGTTTTTTGGTCTGAACTATTCAAACTAGCTGGGACACAATTGAAGTACAGTACAGCTTACCATCCTCAGACTGATGGTCAGACTGAGGTGGTTAACAGATGCTTGGAAACTTATCTCAGGTGTTTAACAGGAAGAAAACCAAAAAAATGGCTTAACTGGTTACATTGGGCTGAGTATTGGTACAATACCAACTATCATGCTGCACTGAAAAGCACTCCTTACAAGGCTCTATTTGGACAGGACCCTCCTGCAGTAATAAGAGGAGATGTTACAGTTACTGCAATAGAAGAAGTTTCAAAGCTGACTGCTCAGAGGAATATGATATTAGATGAGTTGAAAGAGAATTTGGCCAAAGATCAGAATGAGATGAGGCAGCAGGCCAATAAGCACAGGAGAGAGGTTACATTGGAGATAGGGGATCAGGTTTATCTGAAAATTCAACCTTATAAGCTGAGGAGTTTAGCTAAGAGGGTGAACCAAAAATTAAGCCCAAGATTTTATGGTCCATTTCAGATAATTGAAAAACTCAGTTCTGTGGCTTTTAAGCTGAAGTTGCCAGAAGATAGCAAAATTCATCCTGTGTTTCATATATCTTTGTTAAAAAAGGTTATCTCATCTACTACCTACTTTCAACCTCTACCCAAGTGTCTGAATGAAGAATGGGAGCTACAGGTGGTGCCAGAAGAAATTTTGGACACAAGGGTTGATGCAGATGGTAATTGGGAAGTGTTGGTTCATTGGAGCAATCTTCCACAATTTGAAGATTCATGGGAGTCAATGAAAATGATCAAAGAACAATTTCCAGAGTTTCACCTTGAGGACAAGGTGAATTTCCGGGGGGTATTGTTAGACATGCAGCAAGGCAGCCGGTGGAATTTTATAATAAAGTGTATAAAAGAAGAGCTAATAGGGATGCTGCTAATAACTAATAACTAATAACTAACGGGTTAGTTAGTTAGTTATTGTCCCTGCGTGGACATTACTATAAATAGAAGGGCTCAGCTAGCTGAAGGTCGTTTTAGACTCTTGGCTAGAACAGGACTGGGAGATTAGGCATCTCGAATTGTCTACAGCTTGTATACTTTGATCTGGTGAATAAAGTGTGTGTACTGTGTGTTGTTTCTTGAGAATTCTGTATTCGATATTGCATGATCTATCATCATATGTCAACAATTTATATTATAGACATATGGACTATTTTATCTATGGTTATTCTAACTAACTTTGTATGATTTTTTTATAAATATATCCCTATAATTTTTATATTTATGTGTCACTCCACGTTTCTTAGCCTATATTTTTCAAAATACCATTTCCTACATTCACATTTCGTGTTTCGTGTTCCAATGCTAATTAGTCTTACATCATTCATACTAGAGATGAAAAGCTAATTAAATCTCTTATTTTAGGTGTATTCTCTTGCAAAGGTATCCGCAGAAGAGGCTGCATTCAGATTTGCCAATGAAAATGGTATAAATATGGTGTCAGTAATTTCTCCAACAGTGGCTGGTCCATTCCCCAATTCTACAGTCCCATCAAGCATTCGGTTTCTCTTATCACCAATAACAGGTAATTCATGTTTTCCCTGAACTCTATCCAACCCACATTTTATGGGACTGTTATTAAGGTTTTAATTTTTGTATTTGGACCAATGTAGGGGACGCGGGGCTGTTACCAATACTAGCATCAGTAAACTCAAGAATGGGATCAATTGCATTAGTTCACGTAGAAGACATATGCTCTGCCCACATATTCCTCATGGAGAATGATAAAGCTAAAGGACGGTATTTCTGCTGCGCTCAGAATATTTCAATATCTGAACTGATTGCTCGACTAACTGAAGAATACCCAACTCCTAAAGCACCAAGGTTCTTTTTTAATATGTCGATTCATGTTAGCCGATCCCAAACTCGTTCGGAAATATTTTGTGTAGATGTTGTATTGTTTTCCAAATAAGTTATTGTTCTCATTTTATTTCTTTTTGTTTGTGTAGCCTGATAATGCAAGATGATAATCCACAGCCCCCCACTATTTCGTCAAAAAAATTAATGGACCTGGGATATTCTTTCAAACATGGTGTCCAAGGTATCATACATGACACTATCCAGAGCTGTATACAACATGGGTTTTTACCTTGTAAAGAATAGTAAACATCTCCTCCTTCATTATGCACCACGAAACAAGCCCACCATATGTAAAAAGAACAAAGCATAGAGGAATTACTTGATAGCTTGTTGCAGCTTAGGTCAGCAACCTTGTAATTCATAATGGATTTCTTATGTCGTTGGATTATTTTTCAGATTATGTTCTTTCCCATTTAGTAGAAGGTCTTGGTTACCACTGTAAGTGCTACATTGGTCTGTAATAACTCTGTATTATCTCATTAACGGTAATCTTCAAAGTATAATGCATATTCTAATTTTAATAATTTAGTTGAAATTTGAACACAAAAGAGCAGGTAAAACTAGTGGTCTTCAAAATATAATGCATATTTTATTGTTTAACAATTTAGTTGAAATTTGAACACAAACAGAGCAGGTAAAACTAACTCATTATTTGCTTATGAATGCAAGATTTCTCGTTTTGGTTCTGAGTAGTCTCTACTTATGTAAATAGTCTTCAAAATTAGGTTGTTACATTCTAAGACTTTTTCCCTAACTTCTTTCTATTGCTTTTTTAAATACTTGCTAAATTAGTTGGAAATGGGTATAGTACTGCCGACAATAACATAGGTTAGAAGGTTCTCCCGACAGGAAATGCCGCGAGTAAAATTGAGCCATTGAGGTAGACATGGGCCTTTTTTGCTCCTACTGAAGGGTGGAACAGCAACTGGAACCGGGTAATAGCCGTTTTCTTCCAAGATGGGTAGAATCAGCCAGTTCTGAGTTCGATCCTTGCCTGTTTTTTCATGGCACTAGAACTCCACCAGTCCAGTCCTATTTCGCAGGAATCTGAACTGGCCTGGAATTTTTTCGATTCCATTCAGGAATCAGGACCAGTCAGTCCGGGTTCGGTTCCTGATTAAAAAAACTTGTCCTGGTCCAGTTTCGGTCCAGAGTGGAACCATATATTTCGTATATGCCTAGTTGCACTTGGAATGCCATGACTAAATAGTAGTTATTGAAAAAGTTTTACTGGGAAATAGAATACAGTCATACAACTCTGCGATCTAGACACAATGATCTCTTGTGATGTACTGTGAACTATGAACCATTAGAAATTGGTAAAAGGTTTTACCGATTTACTAAAAAAACTCAATGTAGACGACAATGGTCAGTGCACAACTGGTTGATGCACATCACATATGAGTCGTATGATAAACTTCAATCTAGATGGACTTGTTATTCTTTAGACAGCAATATACAACAGATTAAGCCATATGTCAAGCATCATTTTGCCTTAGACGATGTGGTGTGATAGAATTACAAAAATGTTACATATTTTAACAGGTATATTTTATCTTATGTGTATGTACAATACTCCGTATTAGCTTACCCTTAGTAGGTGGTGGATCAGCATCAACAATTAGATCGAGATCAGAGCTGGATTTATATGCCTATAAAACTGTTTTTAAAACAGTTTTGGCCCGACCGGTACTGTTCCGGCCCGGCCCGAACCGGTGGCCCGGTCAGTGACCGGTCCGGGTAGGCCCGACCCGATGTGTTTCCGGTCCGGGCTCGGGTCACCCAAAACAAGGCCCGGTCCGGCCGGACCCGTGCCCGGTTCGGGCCAAATTGAATTTTTTTTTATTTTTTTCATTTGTTTGGGTTCCACCCGGGTTGGGCTTGATGTTTAGGAGGGATTTGGGGGTGGGGGGTCAGGGATGGGTAGGTAAGCAAAAAAAATAACGAAACCCGAGGCCTGGCCCGGACCGGACCCGGTGGCTGCCCGGGCCGGTCCCGGGTCCAGCTATTCAGAAGTTCAGAACCGCCGGCCCGGACCCGACCCGGCCCAAGTCCAAGTCTTAAAACATAAACAAAATATACGGCCACTTTCATGCCTAAGCTAGCTGTAGTGCGATGCGCCACTATTAGAACTGAACTTCTTTTACATTTCATATTAATTAATTAATACTTAATGCCAAAGTCTTCTGTTTATTTTCGAATGTGCACATCCAACATGGGAAAATTTTGTATAAATCTGAACTTCAAAAAGATTTAGCATCTCTTCAAGAAAATCAATATATTGACAATTCCTTCAATAAACATAGTACTAATTAACAATTACACAACAAATAATGCAAAGAGCTTTTCGTTGTAGGTGGTGCAAGTGTAATTGCAGAAGGCACCAATCATTAACCTTGAAAATACCAATGTTGCAGATGCTAAATAAAACTATACTGAACCTCAAACTACTTTAGAAGCAGAAAGTGGATAGCATTGAGTATGTTATTGCATCCCTTCAGGATTTGCAGATCACTACAAAACATGGAAGTAAAGCTTTGGGATTAAGCAAGTAGAGCTCCTCCACATTTGAATGCAGGCCTACTTTCCCAGCCAATGAATCAAACCCTGTTTGGCTAGCGATTTCTTGTATGTTCTCCAAAGGCCTATGCACTCGACCTGCAATCACTCTGCAGACCAACAAGACTCTTCTTTGGGACGGGTCATCCTCGTCCATTTCTATACACTCAAAGGCTCTTCCACTCGTGGAAGTCGTGAAAACGCCGATCCCGCCCTTGAATTCCTTCTTAGTGGAAAACCCGTTCCTTATGATCCGACAAACACAACACCTATCCGACCCACAGAGACTGCATGATCCATTCATGCCAAGACAGCATGCGACAGTTGTGCCGTAGAACCTTAATAGCTCATTTCCATCTGCAAGACATCGCGGGTGTTTCTTGGGGAGTTTTCCAGCCTTCACCTTCACCATCTCCCTATATTCTTCAAACCTTGCTAGAGTCTTCTGTGTGTTGTGAACTTTCAACACCCTTTCAATTCGGCCACATTGGCTCTCTGATTTTATCCAGCTTGACCGACAGATTATCTCCACTATTTTCCTTGAGGAGTCACCCTCCAAAAGTTCAGTCACTGCATATAATTTGATTCAAGATAAGTACTTGAAAAGGTAGGAATGGCCTCATATGTCATATGCCATGTTGTAAAAAGACATCAAGCAGTTGACCACGGCCTTGGTGTTGATTGATAAAAACAGTCTGGCAGGAACTATGTGTTGCTAGTTAACCGGAAATAGACACCTTTTCTGTAGAACATGTTATTGACAATTTTAAGGGTTGGGTTCCGCCCTATGGGTCTGTTTGGATGGAGATGGAGTGAACTCAAGTAGACATGCTGAACTAAGTAAACGTAGTTTTACTTAAAATTGCATGTGAAGAAATTGAAAAATGTGTGGTGTACACATTTGGTGTACACCAAGCAAAGTTGGAAGAAATTTGTTTGGATAATTAATTAAGGGGTGTTTGGATCTGATTCTTAAAACTGCTTCTGCTCTTTCAGGGAAGTTAGAGTGTGGGTGAAAGTGCAGAAGTACTTCCGGTGCTCTAATTTACTCGTAGAATCCATTTTTTTAGAAGTTGGGGGGCCAGATTCTGAAAACTGATTCTTACTCTGCTTCTGATTTAAAAAAGAAGCAAAAGCAGAATCAGTTCCAATCACCCTAGATTAACTCAATTGAACACGGTAAAAAATTGTTTAGATATAGGTTAACCTATGTAAACATGATAAAATTCCTTATAAAGAGAACATTTACTTCGCATGTTCTCCAAAAGGGAGCTATTTGAGGTTTTTGGAAGTAAAATTATATTATGTAAAAATCTAAATTATTGTTACATAATGGTAACTAAAAGAGGTTAACTCAAAATTTAACATAAAAGAGCCTAGATTCATTTCGAAACTAACTCACTAAAAGAGATTATTCTCACTGAAGGAGTAATCTAATGCCTTATACATAGCCAACGTGGGATAAATTTTTCAAACACTCTTAAGAGACAAACACCCTGTCTAGCAGGATCTTGATTTTTTCCAACCTTCACCCTTGTTTGGCTGTGCAAAATTTTAAAAAGTTTTCACATTATATAAGACATGGTTTGAAAAATATAATACCAAACGGGGAAAGACAAATCTTAATGGAGCAAAGAAAACAAGCATTAAATACCCCGTCTAACATAACACTCATTAATAAAAGCAAAATACCAGCGTGTTTGGAGAGATGGTGTGCTTCAAAAGCTTCCCACTTTCCAAACTGCTCATCACCGCACTTGTGACATATGAACGGTGAAGAGCGGCCATTGATGTCAGTGGAAGAAGCCCTGCGTTTTGAAGGAAAGCCATTGTTAACCACCACACTCGCTGAGGCATCTTTTTCTCCCATAAGAGGAGAAAGGGTCCCTCTTGGGAGAGTTGCTGCTTGGTTTCTGTAGGAAGAGCTGAAGTAGTGTCCTCCTCCGGGGCCAGGTGTTCCTGGTCGTAGAAGAGTGCCAACAAGTGACCCTGAACCATTCCCGCCGCTGTCTCTTCCGTCGTGGGACCCACTGAAGCTTGTGATTTTGAGCTCACACCTGGAGTTGCTGAGAATGACCTCATGTGTGATTGGGTTGAGAAACTCACTGCTTCCTATGGATCTTGGGCTGCAACTGGGTGGGTTCCCCATGTCTCTCTCTCTTCCATGGATGACATCTTTGAGGTTTGCTATGGACCTTGAACACCCAGACCTCCTACTGGATTTCTTGGGCAAGATTGAGCTCAACTCACATTTCTTGCTCTTCGGAACATGAACTTCTGATACCTCTGACTTACAATGCAGAGATTTCTTTAAAGTAAACCAAACAGAAGGCGCGCTCTTTTCCTCCTTGTTTTTCTTCTTGTTCTGGTACTGGTTCTGGTGCTTTTCTTCCTGCCCCATTTACCCAGATAAGAAGAGACAACCCTATTTCAGAACTTTATAGATTTCCTCAAAAGAGTTCTCTTTATCTTCTCTTTTTCTTCAGTTCCTCAAACTTTCTTGCAAAAAGCCTTTTAGAGCCATTTTGTACTTTCTTTCTTTTACTGTGGAGCTCAGAATGACGAGCATGGTCAACGAAGCATGAAAAGCAAGAAAAATTGGTTTTTATCGCTTGGATTTCTCGTTCTTTAAAAAATGGGTATTTTCTTTGTGACCGTATTAACGGAATAATGATGGAAGTATGAGAGACCCAAAGTGCGGAAGGAGGCGAAGGATATTGGAAGTGAAGAAAAGGAGAATCTTTTCTACTTTCAGAAGCGGTGGGAGGAAGAAGACAAAGGACCTAAGTGAGCAAGATTGGGTTTGAGCAAAACAGCGGTTTGACACAGCTAAGAAGAAGAAGACGCGGTGAATTAAAACCAGACTGACACATCACACATACCTCATTTGTTTGAATTGAATGCCATAAATAAATAAAATCAAATTTTGAATTAAATAGTTGGTGTTGTTTCAATATTGTACTTTATTTATAGAGAGAGTATAGGCACTAATCTCATTGTAGTTGATCGTGACTAGTGGGAATTGGATGAGCAACCCAGAAAATAAGATATTTAAAGCATCCACGATACTTAAATGAACTAATTTTAATGTCACAATTTTTTCAAAATAATTTCACACTTTCTAAATTACATCATTCATCATCTCAAAATAATCAGATCTTTTGTGGATTCTGCACTTACCATTTAATACTATTTGCACAATAATCTTGAGATAATATGGATTCATATTTCAATCCAGGATTTTTTGTTAAATAATCTCACCAAAATGATAATCTTCATCACTAAATCATGATCCCAAAAGTAATCTGTCACATCAACTTAATCCTCAAATAATCTTATGGATGGAGATGCTCTAAGAGGTCGTTTGCAAACCGTTGGGCTTATATGACTTATCGGTAATTTTTTCATCAAATAACGTAATTTTTTATTTCTCGCGCTGAATTGTTTAATAATAAGAAAAAATAGGGTAAAAGTTATTTTTCTGACTGTATTGGTTGAAATTGCTATAGACGGCCATTTTACCTATTTTTACATATAATTTTTTATTTATTTTAATAAAATATATCTTAAATATAATTTTTTCTTAAATCAGCAGAATCAGTCAATCTAGTCGCTTCAGCTAGAATTTCATAAATTTCACAAGAATCGGCCAATACGACCAATTTGCGTATTACCAAACGTACTCTAAATATAATTAATAAAAATGTAATCTAATAATTTGTACTCCGTAGTAATTATAATTATATTTAGATAATTAGATGTTACACAATATAATACTTATTGATAGTCATTTGTAGTTATATTTTTTCATAAATTTTTTATTAGTAATGTTTTGAGAAAAACCTCATTGTAAAAATGATAGGTAGTAATAATAATAGTAGGGTTAATTATCAAAATAGGACTAAAAGTCAGTCACTTTGCACAAATAGGACCAAAAAATAAACTATGTTTTCATAAGACTAATTATGTGTGTCTTGGACAAATATACCCTTATAGCTATTGAAATGTTTTAATTAATAATAAAATAAAAAAAATAATTAAAATTCGTAAAAAATACTAAAAAATAATAAAAATATTTCGATAATAATAATTTATTCATATTTTTTTCAAAAAATAAAAAAAATAAAATTAAATTGAAAAAACTCAAAAAAATAAAATAAAATTCATTGCCACCTCTGCACCACCACCTCCAGTCACCAGAGGAAAAAATGTCAAGTTTATTACGAATGCCATATTTATGGCAAGAAACAATGAAAATGTTGGCATTCTCAAGTAGAAATATGCCATGTTTTTTACATTTTCAGAAGAAAAAAACTGCAATTTTTAGGGAAAATGACACTTTTTTCACCGGCCGGAGATGGTGGTGCAGGGAGGTAGTATAGGCGGTGGGGAAAGCATCCATATTTTTTTAAATTTTTAAAAAATCATTGGCGGTAAAATTTGGATAATAATTGGTGAATTTTAGTGTAATTTCAATTAGTATAATTTTATAAAATGTGTAAACCTTGTTCTTTTATTAACAAATTTTCGGCACTTACATACGTAGTATCATTTATATATTATAATTAGTTTCTCATACAAATATATCATAGCTAGAGATTGATAAAAAAAAGAATATTACTCAAAATATGACTAAAAAGATTTGAAAATTCCAAAATACGATTGTCATGTTTTTATTCCCAAAATATGACTAATTACTGCCATGTTTTGGCAGTACCAGACTTTAAACATGACAATATTTTCTAAACTTGGCAGTAATTACTCATATTTGAGAAATAAAGAACATGACAGTCCTATTTTGAAATTTTCAAACTGTTTTAGTACTCCCTCCATCCCGTTGGAATGTTCCCGCTTTTCTTTTTTGGATGACCCATTGGAAAGTTCCCATTTCCCTAAATGGAAAGTTATATTACATCAAAACAGGGTCAAACAGTGCAAAACAGTGTCAAAACAGTGTCAAACAGTGTCGAAACAATAAAATTTACCCCCTGATAAGTTTATTTCCTTAATATGTGTAGGTCAAATTGGAAACATTCCAACGGGACGGAGGGAGTAATATTTTGGAACTTTCCCAATATCAAATATCAGAAAATTTTAAGGGATGGACAATATAATAGGAGTAATAATAAAACAATAATGCGGTGTGATGATGTATTGATGTTATTATTATTACGTATAACAATAATAAAATACAGATGGAGTAATTTCTGGACACTACTCAGCTACTCTCATACTCCCCCGTATATCCCAAATTCTCCCGCTTACCTACCCCTTCATCATTGTATCCTTATTTTTTGTTTTTCCAATAGGCTTTTATTATTATCACTCATAATAACTCTTGTTTTACAAACTTTTTTATGTCGTAATTTAATGTGGACTGAATAAAATCCCATTGAATAATATTTAAATATGTTAGATTCGCTGAATCTGGTAAAATTGATGAAATTATGGCTGAAATGACTCAATTCACTAAGCTTGTTCCTGTTAAGTTATGAAAAATAATATTTCAAATATACTCCCTCCGGTCCTGAATAAAGTTTGCACTTTCATTTTTGGGCTGGTTCAAAGTAAAGTTCACACTTCTTCTCCCTTCCTTATTTGGCAAATTATCTACATCAAAATAGTGCAAAATAGTTTCAAACAGTGCCAAACAGTGCCAAACAATGTCACAATAATGTACTCTACAGTAAAGTCAAATTTATTTCCTTAATTTGTGTGAAGTCAAACACTGAACTTTATTTAGGACCGGAAGGGGTATTTTATTAATAAATTAAGGAAAGATTTATATGAAAATAAAGGTAAAATAGTCCTCTAAAATAGTCTTCTACACAAACTTCAGCCAATTCGGGCAAAAAATAAGTTCTACCTTACTTGTTTGATTATTACACAATTCAGCATATGATATCAAAAATTACGTGTTTGATTGGAAAAAATTACGTGTTTGATTAATAAAGCTAAAAAACTGAAAATAGGGCATACCAAATGGACTTCAATATTTAGAGTCCATTTGAGTCCGTTTGGTAATACTCAAATCGGCTGCATTGACTGATTTTGCTGAAATTTATGAAGTTCTCGGTGAAGTGGATGGATTGACTGATTCTGCTGATTTAAGAAAAAAATTAAATTTAAATATTGTTGGGTTAATGGCCCAACAAGGGCCGGCCCACCAACCCGTGATAGCCTCCTATGAGCGGCCCAACAATGAATGGGGACTTCCCGACGAACGTCCTCAGAGGACCCTGGAGATTTCCCTACGAACATCGTGTTGGAAGCCCAATAAGGATGGGATACTTGCCACTGGTTAAGGAGGAGGCCCACCCCCAACAGGGAGACAAGTCCCAGGGGACGCACCTATCCCATGATCAGAGGGTGTCCAGGCCCAAGACTTTCGCAGGGTATATAGGGACGAACGGCCCCACCACTTGATACGAGGCCACGGATAGCTCAAGGAATAGGTCAAGGATAACTCAAGTGCTTAGGGACGAACGTCCCCATTCCTTGGCAGAAGAAGAGGACCCCTGCAGGAGACAGGAGCCAAAGTCTTGGGGGCGAACCTCTCCTCCCCATGGCGGGAAACCAAGATCCTGACGGGAAACACATTTAATGCAGAAGATTTGGTGGTTGGGATCATGCCGTCCACAGCCAGCCACGTCGACACATCCAACCACTCATTGGCAGTATAAATAGTACCATTTATTTCACTGTAAAGGGTTCGCAATGTAGCACTATAGCACCATAGTATCCGTATCAGCACGTAGCATAGCACTGTACGAAACGGCCCTTCGGCTTTGTAATCGTTCTAGTGAATAAACATTCGTTATTGGGCCTTTTCCTTGCTTGTTCTTGATCTCACTTGTCCATCACCCACACGAGACCCTTAGGTTACGTGTTGGACCTACGGGTTGAAGGGAATAAACCTCAACACTGGCGCCGCCTGTGGGAAATTGATCAAAAAGTTCTTTCAAACTAAGCTCTCAGCTACGAAATCACTCTAAAAACTACCAAAAAACAAGTGAGATGGCAGCAAACAACGCAGGAAACTCCCATGATCTCTTTTCATGGCTAGCTCACAGCAGGAGGAGCCGCAACCAGGCAGCAGGGGCCCAGTACAACAGCCTGTGGTCTCGCGGGGATTTCATGGTACTCACTTATTTGATCCCCCAGGAAGTCCGGCAGGACCCGAATGCCTTGAGGGAGATAACAGACACCATTCGCCGATTGGCGGACGAACAGAAGGCGGAACGCGTGCATTCCGCTAACACAGGGCGAACACCGTTCTCTCCTCTCCGTTCGATGCAGACACTCGACGAGCGAACATGCGAGAACGATGATTCTCACCAATCGGTCCATACCAGGATCGTCAGGAACATCCACTCTCCGGACATTGGGGGGGCAACGGGGGAACCGGGCTCTTCGGGGGAGCGAAGCGGCGCGCGAATCGGGACCACGCTCCTATGATGCCCCGCAATGATCAGGCTACAAGGGAGCACCCCCCCCCCCCCCCTGATGGATGGCATGAGGCAGGAGGCCCGTGTCGCCCATGGACAACACAACTTTGGGACCATGCAATGGATTGATACCTTGGCATTGGCGAATCCCACACCCGTGGTCACCGGCCCTCGGGACGCTATGCTCATGAATATGCAGAGGCAGATCGATGAGTTGAGTCAGCGGGCGGATACAAACCCGGCTCAGCCCAAGATCACGTTATCTTCTCCTTTCTCCGCCAGGATTATGGCGATGGAGATTCCCATAGACATTTACAACGGGGCCGAGGGCCCCAAGGCTCATTTAATTTCCTTCCAGAGAACGCTCTCCATGCTGGGGGCATCTGATGAGGCCATCTGTAGGCTATTTTTCAGCACCCTCAGAGGCCGCGCAGGAATGGTTCGGGCAGCTCAGACCCGGAACCATTGACAGTTTTGAACAACTTTCCAGGCAGTTCATGGCGCAGTTCGCTTCCAGTTGTACGCCGAAGAAACATTTCAGCTGGTTGACGAACGTCCGCCAAAATAAAGGGGAATCCCTATTCGCTTTTCTCATCAAGTGGAGGGACGAGACTCTGAAGGTAGAGGATCTTCCGGGAGATACCAGTATCACCCTCTTCACCAACGCACTCTCCACCGGGGATCTTTACCGGGATCTAAAAAGGAACTCCGGGAATAACTACGTTGAGGTGCTGGCAAGGGCACAGAAATTCGCGGCAATCGAGGAGGAGATTGCTTAGCCGGATGGGGTGACAATCACTGTGACGCGCAAGATGGCGGACCGACTGGATCCCGGACTGAGGACTGCCCAACACCAAAGAAGAAGAAGATCGGCGGATACGTGCCTTGGGGCATGCAGGAGCGCTCGGGGGACGAACGTAGTGTGGATGTCGGGTATGCTCCTTTGGTCTACCCCATAAGCCAAATCTTTGGGGCTATAAAGGACAAGGGGATGCTCGGAGAGCCTGCACCTAGCAAGGGGCTGACAATGGGCAAAGACAGGGAAGCTTATTGTGAGTATCACCGGAAGCCGGGACACCGGACGGATGACTGCCACAGTCTGAGATACGCCATTCGGAAGCTAATCGAAAGGGGTTACTTCGGGGAGTTCACTACGAGGGCACCCCCCAGGGTAACTCACAATCCTACAGGAAGCCCAACAGCTAGCGTCGGGACGACCAGCGGGAGGCTGAGGTCAAGGACGTAGATTTCCGTCACGGCGACAAGCGGCCCGAAACATCTCTCGGGCTGATCGGTTCCAACAAGAAGTTGGAAATCAAGATGATTTTTGGGGGTGCGGAAACCGGGGATACATCGACAGAGAGGAAAAAGTTCGAAAGGGCCCTCCACGTCAATTCTATCTTCGCACCTCCCCCCAAGAAGCATAAGGCCGAGCCTATTGTATGCGGGCTGGCAGACTTACCACAAACACCGTGGCCCCACAGGGACGAACTGGTGATTAGCATGGATATCAGGGACTGGATCATCCGGCGAGTCTTGGTTGACACAGGCAGCAATGACAATGTCCTGTACTGAGATGTTTTTGAGAAGATGCACTTGAGCATGACCGAATTGACCCCCCTACGGACGCCCTTAGCCGGTTTCACCGGTCACAGCATCGATGCCAAAGGGACGATCGTCCTGTCGATAGAAATTGGAGACGGAGAGCACCGCACAACGATCCCCATGACCTTTGTGGTGGTACGGCTGAAGTGTGCCCACAACGCCATTCTTGGGAGACCGGGACTAGAAGATTTGGAGGCTATATGCTTCGTACAGCATTCTTGTATCAAGTTCCCCACGGAGACAGGGGTGGGTGTAGCTCGTACGGACCCAGATATGGCGAGGACCTGCTACAAGGAGGCTGTGAAGAAGATGACCGATCGAGGGATGAGGGTCAACAACGTCGCTGAGACCGCTCAGCGGGAAGATGCCTTATCGCGACCGGAGCGAGCAACTCAACTTGAAGAGATAGAACTCGATGATCCTTCCGATCGGAAGGTATCCATTGGGACTGGGTTAGAGCCAGAGATCTGAGAGGGCGTGATCTTGGTCCTCCGAAGGTTCAAAATCTTGTTTGCCAGAGGACCGGAGGATATGCCCGGAATTTACCCCGAAATTATTTGTCATAGAGTGGCCGTTCGGCCAGATGCCAGGCCAATACAACAAAAGAAGAGATATATGACGGTCGAACGGAGGGACTTCATCAAGGTGGAGGTGACCACCCTGCTCAGCATACGCCACATTCGGCCTGTCGTACATGTGGAGTGGTTGTCTAACGTTGTCTTAGCATCCAAGGGACCCACATGGCGGATGTGTGTTGACTATTCCGACCTCAATGTTGTCTTACCTTATCAATTTTGATAGTTAATCACATTACTAGTTAAAAATGAAAAAAAAAAGTGTAATGAATTGTAGCATGCTATGTAATGATTTTTTTGAAGAAGATATAATTTTATAAGACCTTGATGTTGATGAATATCATGACCATATATACTCTGTAGCATTTAAGAAAAGGTGTTTGAATCCTGAAAAAATCAATCCCAACTCGATGGGTTCAAGAAAAAGGGACTGGGCGTAGTGGGGCGAGCCAGCCCACGGACCATGACTGATTTGGACGCCTCTGCTTTGCATGCACATATACTCAGCGCCCACATGTGTCCATGGGTCCATTTTATGACTCGTGCCGGTACGGTTCTAATCCTTCACGTTATTTTCGTTGGCTTTCAAATACACACTCATTTAAGAGGACAAAGCTACTCCCATCATTAATGTACATATTACTCCGTCTCTGGGAGTTGACTTCAACAGTTCATTGCATTGGTTGGAATTTGTCAACTTTCATCCACACACTGCTAAAAAATTAAAAATTTGCTCAGTTGATATTCAATGTAGATAAACGAGAAATCATAAAATTGTTGAGTAAGGTTCCATCTATACGGTCAGGAGCAGTGGAGGAGCTAGGGGGGGCAAGGGGGGCAAGCGCCCCCGCTCCGACTAATTTTTTTTACTAGTATTACTTATAATATGTTTCTTGCCCCGGCTTCTTTTTTAATTTTAAAAACAATAAGTACAACTTAAGGTTATTTTAAGATGAAGTGTTAAAATAAATAAAAAAGTATTTTCAGAAAAAGTAAAAAAAAATGAAATATAGAATAAAAGGGGATTAATGTATGTAATACATTTGGCATCCCAATTTGCCAATAATCCGGAGTAGCTTAGTGGAGACAGGTAACACGCTCCCTTCGTATCACCCGTGTTCGAATCCCCCCAGGACGGATTAAGTTAAACTTGTTTTGCTTTTCTTCCGCCCCAATTCTTCCAATTTTATTTTCTTCAGCCTACAACTCGTCCCACACCGGATGAAATAGAGGATTCACTCCTCATTTGAGCCTATATAATCGCTCCTTCATTATTCGTATTCTATCTTTGTGGTCTCCAACAATCCAAGTGTTTGACAATATATTTGATGATGGAATTGATTCGAAATCAAGGGGCAAAGCTAGTAGTTTGGTTGAAAAAATGGAGAGCTATCAATTTGTTTTTATAGCCCACTTGATGAAGAAGGTATTGGGATTGACGAATATGTTGTCACATTTCTTGCAACAAAAAGATCAGAACATTCTTGAGGCTGTGAGCTTGATTAAAAGCACTAAAGAGAAGTTCCAAGATTTGAGAGAAAGTGGATGGGAAGAGCTATTAGAAGATGTCAGTAAATTTTGTGTGAAGAATAAAATTGACATTCTAAACATGGAAGATACAACTCATCGTTCTAGACGCGTTCGCCATCCGGTAACAAATTATCATCACTTTCGAGCTGATATTTTTTATCAGGTATTTTTTATTAAAATTTAAATTATTTATTAGTTATTATTATTATTATTATCATTATTATTATTACTATTACTACTACTTTTTATTATTACCTTATTGTAGGTTATAGACCAGGTCAATCTGGAAATGGAGAATCGCTTTAGTGAGTCAAATACAGATTTACTCGCTTGTTTAGCTTGCCTTGATCCTAAAGATAATTTTTCCAATTTCTGTGAGTCAAAGCTACTCAGTCTTGCGGAGTTATATTCATCTGATTTTTCAGCTGTTGAGCAAATGGAGCTTAAAGAACAACTCCAAGTTTGGATATATGAGATGAGTGGAAATGAAGCATTTTCCACTTTACAAAGTATTGGTGAAGTGTCTAAGAAGATGGTTGAGCTTACAATTCACAAATCTTTTCACTTGGTCTATCGTCTTATTGAGTTGGCTCTAGTGTTACCAGTTGCAACAGCCACAGTTGAAAGAGCTTTCTCATCGATGAATATTATCAAGACAGATCTTCGCAATAAGATGGGAGATGACTATCTTACGGATTGCTTAGTATGCTAAATCGAAAGAGACATTTTTCAAGCAATTGATAATGAAGCTATTATGCAGCATTTTCAAAATATGAAAACTCGTAGGATTGATTTGCCTAGGTTGCAGAAGTAAATCAATTAGTATGTAATGAACTATAATTTTTTGTTAAATTATTACGCTATTGTTGTTCTTATTATATTTTGGACACGAACTTTAAAATTTTTAGTCTTTGGTTTGCCCCTCCTTGGACAAATCTCTGGCTCCGCCACTGGTCAGGAGTACTAACTCAATATCTTAATATACCATTTTATTAGTCTATATTCTAAGGGTGTGAGAAGTACTTCAACACTCCCCTTCTCCCCCTCGTGAACAGACTTGAGAAGGGTGTAGGTCAGTTCGGGCCAATGAGCCTAGCACAGTGCATTTAATATATATGTAGTACTTTATAAGCTTATTTATTTATTTACATATAGAGTGCGGGGGTGGGTCAGGGGGTGGACAGCTCAACCGCACGGGCCCAAAAATTGGAGGGTCCTAAAAAATACTAGTGCTATTACTGCTAGTCCAATGCTCCTTATTACTGTAGTATTAGTTAGCCCAATACTCCGGAACCGGTTTCTCTGATTGGATTTGGCCGTCATGTAGGGTGCCTGGCTATAAATGGTCGTCTGATCCGATATTTGCCGATCCCAAAGCGCTGCTCCTCTCTTCTTTGTCGTCGGATATGCGCCAAGGACTCTGTCGTGCAGTAAAGGTTCATGATCCCAATACTCCGATATGAAAAATTAAAAAAAAGGGAATTTATCACAAATTAGCTCAAAAGTTAAAAATTATACTGCGTATCACTTTGAAAATCTTTTCTTAGAAACGAAAAAACTTAATTTTTCTTTTCCAAAACAGACCATACTACCTAGTGGGCCGCTGGAACTCTATCCTTCGTGTAATAGCTACGTACATATATACTACTACCTCTGTCACATTTATATCTTCTCGTTTAAGACTAATTATTTTCAAAATTATTGAGAGTATGATGAGAAGATTTCGAAATGAGAAGATATAATTGTTACAGCCAAAAAAGGAAAATGGGGAGATATGAACGTTACAGACGAAATACTTCATTGCTAAAGTAGTACCCCATACAAAGTGCGTGAATTGTTAACTTTGATTCTATTTTTAGATAAAATCTAAAGTTCATCCAAAAATAAAAAGGTAATAATAATGATAATAATAATTAAATACAAAATAAAAGTCTAGGAACTAAGATTAAATTTAAAAAATCAAAAATAAAATAAAATGTAGAGTAAACAGTGCACAATTGAAGACTTGTGAATTAGATTTTAAAATTTTAAATTGACAAAATATGAAAAGTGTAAAGTAAACCTATGGAAAACTAATAAAATATTAAAACTTGACAGTAATGAATTGATGTATGATGAATGATGAAATAATGAAATTTAACAAATTAGGTTGTTATTTATAATTTAATGTAATTAATCGATGAATTAATAAATGTATTTAAACTCCGTATTTAATAAATTAGTATAAATATGTTTATACTTGTTAAGTTGTTAGTTATAGTCCTTAAATAAAAATATATTAACTTTTCGTTTAAATTTGTACTCCTTAAATGCGCACCAAGAATGACTGTTTACAAATTACAAATGAAGTGCATTCTATAAATAATACTCTTATAATGTTAATCAAAATATTATATGTTGATATTAATTATTAGTAATTTATCACTATCATCATCTTTATTTGTATGATATGTATACTTGTGTTAGAAAAAAAGTTCTCTTTTTTTTGCACATGGCCTCCATATTCTTAGGACCGGCCTTGGTAGAGTGTATGTGATGCTTTTCCATCATTTCCAATTTTAGCCAAAGACGGGCTATTTTTTTGGTTTGGGAATATTATGGAATAAAGAAACATGACTCAATAAATTGTTTGCACTTCTTTGTTACTAGTATGATATATAGCAGTTAGTACATGCGGTTTTCGATGGAATTTTTACTTTTCATCTTTGATTATCCAGAAACAATCTCTCTATGCTTTAGTATATGAGTAAGGTTGTGTACATCTCACCTCCTTTATCCTACTTTAAATGAAGCATTTGTGACACTAGGGTAATATTGTTGTTGTTGTATAGTGCATGTGTTGCACTACATTTATGCATATTTATATAGTTCATTATGTTTATATTCTTATACTTAAAGATAGTACTTTATGCATGAATAATAAATTTTAGTTATATATTTTTATGATTATATGTGGTGAGAAGCCTATTGTTGAGGTTTAGTCCCGCAGATCCGAAAGCTCAATACGAACTTTGGATATATCAGTAAAATGAGTCAAGAATCACTTGTAAAAAGAAATATAAAAGATGAATCGAATTGAATGCTCAAAAGCCCACTTGTATTGAGTAATTTGATGATTACACAGTAAACTTCCCGAACGATACGTCGGAATAGTGACTAATACAAGAAATAAGAGAGATAAATCTATTCTAGGCTTTGAATCTCAAGAAGCTAACCCTTTACAATGAAATTAATCCTTCTATTTATACTAATGGGGGGTATGGGGTGCTCCATGCTAATTGGTTGCTAATCTGGCCACTTCAAGTCCATACTCCCACTTGTTGCCGCCATACTTTAACAATAAATGCTCCATGCCACTTGTTGGCTACCTGTTGCCCGAACGGGGTAGTGGACCCTGCTGGAATCATCATTGATCTGGCCCAAGTACATTGGTTGACCCGAACCCCGTTCGGTACATATTTCTCCATGAGCCTGTTCATCTTCTGGATTCTGGGCCCGTTTATCGGACTGGATATATTGGGCCTTGGATCCGGGTATTGGGCCTGCGGTCCAATATCCCAACACGAGTCCCCCACTTCCGATGTCTCGAACGGTAGTGAGTGCATTGGGAAGTAGAACTTACATGCCGAATGGCGATCGGGGTCCAGAGTTTGCTGGTTCCCCATGTCATGATTAGTACCTTTCTTGCGGCTGTCATTTGATTTTTCCCATAATCGTCATGATTACTGGCCCTTGATCTCCTGTGCGACACGTGTCCTTTCAAATAATCCAGATGACGTGTCTTCTTCTGATTGGTTACTGATTCGGCGCCTGCCAGGCTATAAATGGGCCTTGTACTCCTTGGATACGGGTTTCGAATTCTCATTCCTTTCGAGCCCTTGTTATGCCTTCTCTTCAGATTCTTCGAGCTATTTCGTGTTCAGGTATTCCCCGTTCCTTGCTTTTCCTTTCATTTTCGTGTTCGGTCATATGTCTTCTCGAACATCTTCCGGTTCGGATTCGGGGCCCACTTCTAGAGAGGAAACTCACGATGCTGCCGTACCGGATGCCATAGAAGTTCCTTTTGCCGATGTTGCCAATACTACGACTGCAGGGGCGGTTGATGAAAACCGTTCAAGTGATTCTACCTCTAGTGAAGATTCTGATGGCACGATGTCTGGCGATGAATTGGCTTCAATGGCGGCTGGTCCTCCGGTCGATGTTCCTCGTTATAGGGTGGATCTAAGGTTAATCAGGGAAAGGAGGCAGAAATTGACGTCTCACAATAGGGCCCAAATCCCAGCCCTAATCCCTGATCCAGTTAATTTCCGTCTTCGGGCTGGGCTTCATCCGATGCGCCACCTTCCTGGGATGGTGGTGGTCCATCTAGACTCAGTAAAAGCTGGGCTTAGGTTTCCCCTGCAACCCTTTTTTGTATCCCTTCTCAATTTCTTTGAAGTAGTATCAGCTCAAATAATGCCGAACTCCTATCGGGCAATGGCCAACTTCATTTGCCGCTGTGTAGATGTAAATGTCAAGCCCAGTTTAGAACTATTCCATCAATTTTTCAAAGTAGCCCCCCCAGCAGACCCATGGATACTTAGCCGCAACTGTCCGAACGGGTCATGTACTCTTTAAGGGTAATCTAACCTCGATTAAGGGGTGGAAAGATCGGTTCTTCTTCGTTTCCATTCCGGACAGTCTGATTCCTAACAAGTGGAATGTCTTTCCTCGTAAATCACCGGAGCCGGTTTTGACTGAGACGATTTGCAAGGACGTTTTTGCAGTGGAGGAAGCCAAAATCTGCAACATTCTAGCGTATCTGACCCCTGATCAACTTATCAAGGCCGGGATAGGTACTGCCCGCTCTCCTGGGTCTACTTGTTTAAGAACCAAGTACCATGGGCGGGGCGGTCCTTCCCGTGCGAGAAACGTTATGTTCTCCTTGTTTCCCACATGATAAGATCACTCGGTACTAACATTTTCCTTTGTTATTTTTTCAGCCCCCAATACAGACAACCCCATGGATAACAGTCGAGTGCTAGCAGCTGGTGGAGTGGGGAAAAGGAAGAAGGCCAAGAAAAACCCTAGGCCGGTCCTTCCACCGTCAGTACTCAAGAAGCAGGATCTTCTCAACCTGTACAGGAGACTTTCAGGCTGCTCAGGATGCCAACCTGGATGTGGGCGGAACCCATACTGTTCATCTCTCTGGTCGGGTCGAACGGATCTCTCTGGCAGATCCCGTTCATGAAGTTCTGGAGAAAGCTGGTTGTTGTGCGAGCCAAGTTTGGTCCACTTCTGCTTTCTTTAATAACTTCGTCGTCCCTCAACTGTCGGTCGACCAAGCAGAGGAGTGTTTGGCTCTAGCAGCCTTAAAGGTATTTTATTTTTTTCCCTATAATTTGTTTCATATGTTTACCCTTTGTTCTATATCATCTCATTTCTCGAACGGAATTCTGTAGTTGGGGCTATACAGCTTGCATCTGAGGGAGGCCCGGTTGGCCAAGGAACGGGACCTGATCGTCGCCCAGTCTTCAGCCGAACAAGCTCTTACTGCCGCCCTTGCAAATTTTGAGGCCGAACGGAAGGCTTTTGCGGAAGAGAGGCAGGGGTTCAAGAATGAGCTGGGCAGACTTCGAGTTCAACTGGCCACTGCACAGGCTAAAATTTCTGCGGCTGAGGCCGTTTAGGTTAAGTTTGCAGAAATGGCTCCCCGCATCCCGGACGCTCCTACTGAAATTGATGTGGATCTGTCCGCCGTTCGGGATGTGTTTAAATCCTCTGATGAATTTACTGCTATCAAGGAGGAATACGCTCGGCAACAACTGCCAGCCAATTTTGGGGCTTATCTCGATCATTTCCCTCGGGGTGATGTCCGGCGTCAAGAAGGGGTGAAGCTGCTCGATCAGGATCCTCGGGGTAAACATTTCAATGACTCCTTTTCAAAATCTCTTTATGTGATGGGCTGCCAGCATATCCTGTTCCCCTTCGTGGCCAAGCTTCAAGAAATGCTAGGGAGGCCGGTCGAGCTTGCTGATCTTCTCTCGGTCCCATCGTTGAGGCCCAACTTGACAAATACCAACAGGACCTGCAACGGGCCACCGATCGCGAAGCGGGGAGAGAGCCTGACCCCCCTTCTGACTCGAATGAGGGTGAAGATGATGATGATAAGGAAGCCACCGAACAGTAATTTTAATCAAGTATTTTTAGTATTTGTAATTTCCTCCCCCCTTCTCCTTTTTTGCATATGATCTTTGTATTTCCCGGCTAGTAGAGCCGATGAATATATACGAAATCTTTTTTGCTCAACAATTCATTCATTGTCTCTTGTCTTTATCAATTTTGAGGTTTAGTCCCGCAGATCCGAAAGCCCAACACGAACTTTGGATATATCAGGAAAATGAGTCAAGAATCACTTGTAAAAAGAAATATAAAAGATGAATCAAATCGAATGCTCAAAAGCCCACTTGTACTAAGTAATTTGATGATTACACAGTAAACTTCCCGAACGATACGTCGGAATAGTGACTAATACAAGAAATAAGAGAGATAAATCTATTCTAGGCTTTGAATCTCAAGAAGCTAACCCTTTACAATGAAATTAATCCTTCTATTTATACTAATGGGGGGTATGGGGTGCTCCATGCTAATTGGTTGCTAATCCGGCCACTTCAAGTCCATACTCCCACTTGTTGCCGCCATACTTTAACAATAAATGCTCCATGCCACTTGTTGGCTACCTGTTGCCCGAACGGGGTAGTGGACCCTGCTGGAATCATCATTGATCTGGCCCAAGTACATTGGTTGACCCGAACCCCGTTCGGTACATATTTCTCCATGAGCCTGTTCATCTTCTGGATTCTGGGCTCGTTTATCGGACTGGATATATTGGGCCTTGGATCTGGGTATTGGGCCTGCGGTCCAATATCCCAACACCTATAAACATTATGAATTTTTATAATGTTGTAATATTATATTATTTTAAAAGTGTTCTAAATTGTTTAGATAGCTTTGAAAAAAATCAAGATTTTCCCGGGGCATGTGGCCCGGTGGACTACCCAGCTTTATCTTACGGGGGTATGAACATATGGTTAGGCTCGTTTATTGCGGTCTGTCCGAGTCCGCCCACACTAATGGGCAAAAAATTGAGAAAAGTCTGGCTTGAGCCCAAACCCGTATTTGTGTAGGTCTACTCATCATTATTATTATTTTCATCAATTCGCTTGTTGTCAATTTTCATAGCCGTCGTCATTTGTCATAGAGGCTCACGCCATGGTTGTGGACCAATTCAGCTCTGATATCATATTAAGATTCAAGTTTCACCCTATAACATTAACCTAATAAAACTTTATTAGTTCATGTGTTTGCCGGTGTGGAAAATGACATTGTTTTTTCAACAAAAAAGAAAATTTCATTAACTTCCCACAACTATGTTCACATAGATGGGTGATGTCCAATATGTAAAAGGGATAAAGAGATTATCTTACATCTCTTCATGAAGTGTCCTATGAGGGAGGAGACATATTATTCGAGGATGACACCGCACTTGGACGTCCTTCAAATTCAACTTAAAATTCAAAGTTGATGTATTAATTTCCGTATTATCAAACATTTGTAAAATGATTAATGCTTTATATAATGTATGATTCATCATACTATCGTTTGGGTCCGTATTATAAAGATGAGCTTCCAAATACTTAATTAGGCCACCTTATTAGATATAAGCGCCCAATAAAATATAAAGAAACATTCATAACCTTTCTAGACCAAATAAGAAAGATGGGAAAGCCCAAATTGTTACTTTGAGACCAACCTACTAAAAATAGTAAGATATTTGGAAAAAAGCGTCCTTCGGGTGGCATCGGCATTCACATGTGGCCGCATTTGATGCGGTGGTTGGATGTGACGTTTGTACTTGGTACGGTGATTCAGGCGCATGTGGGGAGGAGATTCTGTCGAGGATGATGCCTCCGGGTGCATATGTGGTGCCGAAGGCTGATTTCCAGGCGCGCACGGGATTCATCTTCGGTACATGAGTATCTGACCTCTGTCTCCTCCACAATGTAATCTTTTTGACTATTTGAGGTGAATGCTTTTGAGGAGAACTAGTTGGTTGCACAGCGGAAAATGATGATTGACTTGTGAGTATAGCTGAGCATTTGATGTGAAGCTGACTTGGCAGTTTTGATGATTTGAGAGAGTAGAGAGTCGTCGTTTTTTGTGGTGGAGGAAGGAAGTGTCCGAGAATGATTTTTGAGAGTAAACAACATGCAGACCACTCTCTCCCTCATGACGATCCGATGAATCGGGGCGTCATGCCTTTATTCTTTTATTATGGGAAACAAAACAGAGAAACAAAAAGAAAGGTAAAATGATAAAAACCGGATACACTGAGGTGTTCCGTTATCACAACATCAATGTAAACACTGATGAGTGGCCTGTCAACATGATAAAAGCATTAAATCTCTAACATGACTTCCAACTAGTCATTGTGAAGCATTTAAAGTAGATGTCACTCTGGTTGTTATGACATGATCATAAAGATCAGCAAAGATAACGTATCCCCCCGGGGCGTGCAGACACCCATTATAATCACTATAAAGATCCACTCTAAAGCGATGGCCTGAACATGTTGGTGATTTCTATGTTGCAACAACATGACTTCCTTCCAATCATTGGTCTTCATCTATAGTAGATAAGCCCTATGGAAGTTCTCGCGGGTCATGAAGACCTGCAACTGACTCTAAAAAGTGTCTTGTGTCCTAGAAAATTCAAAACATTTGGGAGTGATAGAACTAGACACGACGTGATCAATGAATGTTCAGTGACGTGGGGCTGTACGTGGGCCACTGTAATCAGTATCAGTCGCCTCAGAGAGAGACGGTGATAAGAGATGAGGTTCCCCGTGAAATATGATTAACTTTCCCGATTTTTCTTCAAACTCGTGAACAAAACAAGAGTATCTAACATCACGTGATCACATTCTGGTCTTCATATGAGATTACCCCCAACCAAATGGGCCGTGAGTGGAATGAACTCAAAATTGAAAAGGTGTTGATACTCTGTAATATTTTCTTATATTTTCTCTTAGACAAAAAATAACACTCCCTCTGTTCTCTAATAGATGAGAGTATAGCCTTTGGCACAAGATTTGAGAAGAAATTAATAGGGGTAGGATAAAAGGTGTAGTGGATTGTGTGTAAAGGTAAAAGTATGAAAAAGAATGAAAAAGTAGGAAGGAGAATGATGGTAAATGAGTATATTTATTGAAAAAACTTACCAAAAGTGGAAAGAGAGACAACTAATAGAGAACATCCCAAAATGGAAAGAGAGTCAAGTATTAGATAACGGAAAGAGTATTTCAAATCACAAGATTTTTTTTTTTCAATCAAAAAAAGGAGGGCTTAACATTTTAAAAATATGTTCGCCAAAGAGTTTTTAAAAGTAGGCGGTATCCAGACGGTTGCAAACTTGCAAGTCGGAAGACTACCACAATAACCGCTTGGATCCATATCTCAGCCGTTGATTAGTTAGTAATCTAATGGCTAAACATAACGATCCGCGTCTATGCCTCCTATTGGATGATTTTGAAATCCCAATAAGCTATATAAACAAACACCTACACGATGTCTATTTCACAATCAAATAAACAGTTTCCATCATCTTGCCGTAATTCAAATCAAACAATCTAAGCTTCGGCAAGTCCAGTAGAAACAATGGCCGGTCGCGGGAAAGCCCTCGGTTCCACAGCTGCGAAGAAGGCAGTGTCACGTAGCAGTAAAGCCGGACTCCAGTTTCCCGTCGGTCGTATCGCCCGTTTCCTGAAAGCCGGAAAGTACGCTGAGCGCGTCGGTGCCGGTGCTCCGGTTTATCTAGCCGCCGTCCTCGAGTATCTCGCCGCTGAGGTACGAACGTTTCCCTTACTATTCGTTTCCTTGTTCAATTTTGCTCTCCCTGTACGATTAATGGTCCAAATAGCCTTCGCGATCTTATTCATAAAAAATCGCATTTCTAGGGTTTCTAAATGTTGTTCGACTGATTGAATCGATGTGATATTCAGGTTCTGGAATTGGCCGGAAATGCGGCAAGGGATAACAAGAAGACCAGGATTGTGCCCAGGCACATTCAATTGGCCGTGAGAAACGACGAGGAGCTTAGCAAGCTGCTTGGAGATGTGACGATTGCTAATGGAGGAGTGATGCCCAACATTCACAACCTCCTTCTTCCTAAGAAGACTGGCGGTAACTCAAAGGTCGCAGATGAGGATTAGATGAAAGTTATGGAGTTTGATCTTCTTGAGTGCCGAGTTGTTTGTGCTTTTATGTTTAAAAAAAGAGAAATTGTAGCAGTACAATAGAATTTAGGTGTTGTAGTTTTGTATGTGTTCATGCGAATGTAAATGGAGTTCAAACTCTGTTTAGCTGTTACAATTGATGAATATAATCCACTGTTGCAGGATTTCTCACGTATTCTTGACATGTTCTTTCTCATGTGTATTTTTTACGGAGTTCAAACTCTCCTTTTCCTTTCTTTTCCTTTTTTTTTGTGATATCAGTACAGATTCATGCTAGATGATCCAATATCTTTTGGGATTAAGTATTGTATGTTGTTGCTGTTGTTGTGATGATCCTTTAGGCAATGCGTTGAATCTGTCATTTAAAGTTCCGTGTTTATATGGTCTGCAGCATGCATAGTTTGAGAAAATGAAATCTACACTAGATAGCAAGAATATGGACATTGATTTTTAATTGGGCAGTTGTGGATTCACATATCCTTAATTGATTACAACAACTTGAGATATGCTTGCAATCTCCTTGAGTTTATTGTGACACGGCAACTACGTTATGTTTTAAAAGATTAACCTTTGTATATGTATAAGTCAGCCTATAAAGGGAAAAGGTGCCCGTAAGCCTTCAAACTAAGCCTGTAAATCACCCATTTTATATATCGCTTTGTAGTCATCGTCATTTGTAGTCATCCTCATTTGGGGTGGTTACCTATGAAATTTTTGATGATTTTTTTAGAATCTCTTCACTAAGTCCATTTTACTCATCAAATTTCAGGTAAAATTTTAATCGGAAAGGTAGTCAAATGATTTTTTGAGATATGTTGCGCTGTTTATCTGAACAGTTATCTTCAAACATTTAGTTGACTGCTTTCACGATTGAATTTTTATCTGAAATTTGGTATGAGTAAACTGGACTTAATGAAGAAGATGTTCAAAAAATTTCATAAAAAAATTCCACCGGGATTCGCCTCAAATGACAACTGCGGGACTGAGTATCCTATAAAAGAGAGTGATTTGCACTTTTTCGGTTAGTTCGAGGGCTTATTTACCCCCCCTTTTCACCCTATAAAATTACTAATTGAAGGCTCATTTATTTCATTACACTCAGTTGAGTTCCGATGAGTTTCTTTTGTTCCTAAACAAGGTGGAATTCGAGCCCGTTTGCTGGCCCGTTTTTTCGGCTTATCAGTTTATCAGTCAGTTTTTTCACCAAACATGTAACTTTTGGTTTCGCGTGCTGAATTATGTAATAAGCAGAAAAATTAAGGTTGAAGTTACTTTTCTGAATGTATTGTCTGAAGTTATTGTAGAGAATCGTTTTAGCTATTTTTTCATATAATTTTGTATTTTATTTATTAATAAAAAAAATTTTAAATATATTTTTTTTATAAATCATCAGAATCAGCCAATACAGCAACTTCAGCCAAAATTTTATAAAATTCAGCAAAATCAATCAATTCATTCAATTTTAGTGTTACTAAACAGACTCTTTATTTTTCCATGAGGTTGTAAAATGGATGTTATTGAGATAATTTTTTTAAAAAGTACGACATTTTATAGTGATTCTATTATGTGAGTAGGATAATTTATGTTTCTTTACTACAATTACAATATTTATCCTATGTATTTTATAGTTGCCAAAGTCTGTTCTGGTTTGGTCTGTTTAAGTCTAATATGGTCTGGCCTGATTTGATTTGTGATTGCAAACAATCCAAAAGAAAACATTAAAACACTAGCCGCGCTACCATTTTTATAGTGAAAAAAGCAGCCACCTTTTCTTCCCAACAAAAAAATTAAAACACGAATGATAGTTAAAATAATGATCGAACGGCCTTCCATTAATTACAAAATAAAATAAACAAATAAAAACGAAATTAATTAAAAAACTACAATGATTTTCCTACCTATTGCAATGGTGTTTCTTCACTACCTGCAATTTTGCAGATGGTCTTTGTATTACAGAAGTTTGTGCTACAGATAAAATCCAGCCTCCTGTTTGACAAGCTCCCACCCACTCTACTTCAAACTTACAAAGCAAAAACAATTGAGAGTAAAGAATGACAAAAAGAGATCAAGGCATGGAAACCTGATACAACTAAGCCTCATCTTCGGAACTGGACTCATCATCATATCGTCTATCAATAATTGCAGGAAAAAGTTTATGCCGCGGATCAGAGGGAGATTGGGGTTCTGAAGGGCCAACGGCCATATTATATTTTCGTGGTGACGACTTTGGCTTCATTTGTGCAGATCCTACTTCTCTGCATACCCTGTCAAGTATTACCAGAAAATCACGAACTATGACGAATAATCGCAACCCTTCATCTTTCCCAGCATTCCCATGGAAATAATCACCGGTGCTCTTAACAAGACACATTATCCGCTTTTCTTCTTCAAACAGCCACGTGACATCAACTTCAACATTATGCACAAAATTCTGTAGTGTACGGAGAAACCCATCTTCCTCGTTCACTTGGTCCATGACTGAACTCAGGAAATTCTTTGCATTTACTAAAGAACGGCCGAGATTGGCCACTGTGCTTGTCAACTCACTAGCATCAAGCACTGCGGCATTCTTGACATGCTCAAGCTCATTACCCAGACCTGACACAGCTTGTAGACCGAGGGCTCGATGGTAATTTTCCGAATCCTGAAGGACATCATCGGACACTGGACTAGATGTGCCCTTTGGTTCCTTGGCTGCTCGGGCAGCTGACCGTGATCCTTCGGAGCGGATGATCTCCTGTACAACAAAATGTAAAAGTGTGGTCTTTCCATCTGTCCCTTTCACGTCTGATAGTTTTAGTAGTGTATCGAGTTTGAATGCTTGAGCACCTCCGCGGTATGTTCCGTCATTCATGCGGTTCCCAGTTTTTAGAACTGCCTCCAGTAGTTTGAGAAATAACCGGCTCTTCCGTAGTTCAGTGCAAGCAGCCTTGGTAAAATTTAAACCATATGTATAAGTTCAAAATGGCACTTATAACTAACATGAGAAAAATTGCAGTTTAGTTCGTATAGTCTGAACATATAGGTGTCTCAGTCCCTACAATTTCTATGTATCAATGACAGGCCTTATGTTTGCACTGAAGTATCTATTAGCCTTTCTTCATTAAATCACAATGATCGAGCTTTCAAAAATAAAAACTCCAGAGAAAATTGCTAATTGGTTTTAACTTTTTATCCTTCTTACTATTTTGAAAAATATTTGAAAAGTAATTTATTTTAACTATTTAAATGTTCAATGAAACAAATTAAATATTTATAAAACCCAAACATAGTATAAATTGACGAGCTCCTTGAAAAACCATGTTATATATTCAGTTGTCGAAATTCCAAATTTCCAACAATTTGATTTTTACAGGTCTTCTATACTTCCATCCTTTTTTAAATCAATACTACTAATAAAAATTTCAAAATCTAGATGCTACTTTAAAGTTCTAAGGAATCGCAAAAACTGTATTCAAATATTATAAAACTTCTGAAAAATTACTTTCCTTCAAATTCACCCCTATTTTCTTCTCCTAGCTTTTCCAGTTCCAAATAGACCCCTAATTTTCAGTGAGATAAAGCAAAATATTTACCTCTAATGTAGCAAATGATTCTTTAATCATTGACACCTCCTCTTGAAGAGTGCACATAAAAATCAACGATTCTAGCCTCTTGAAGGCAAATGGAATGTCAACTAAGGCTTTCAGAAATCGCTCAGCATGCCCAAGCCGAGAAAGGTCTCCACTATAGGCTCTCAGCTTCAGCTCTTCTTCAGATGTCGGTGCCATCTTCAGCAAAGTTTGAAGCAATTCTGGTGGAAGCTCATTTCCTGATGATTTTTTTAAAGAAAAGTCAGCTGATGATTTTATGCTGTGAATTCCATAAATAGTACCCGGTTTCCCCATTTCAAGAATTAAGTCTGTACTTTGTAGCTGACAATGGAACAGCGAATGATTAATCTTACTTGAGAGCAAGGCTCTGTTCTAGATGATAAACAAAACAAACACATTATCTCAACAAGACCATGAACTGACCCTTTTCTATTTCTCTGTTTCCCTTCCCTAAAAAATTCTCAAACCAAACAAACCCTAAAAGATGAAAATTTTCCAATTTAAATGCACATGATATCAATATGACTATGAAATCGCCTTATTTGAGCACATCATCTCAATGAGACTACGAAATCACCTTTTTCTATTTCTCTATTTCCCTTCCCTCCCAAATTCTCAAACCAAACATCATCTCTATTTTCCTGTTTGAATGCACATGATCTCAATAAGACTATGAAATCACCTTCTTTGAGAGCATCACAAACTTCTTCAATTGTCACATTTAAAGCTTTAAGAATAATTGCTAAGTTCTGTGCCTTCTTTTGATCAATAAGTTGTATATACTGGTTAGAAGTGTCTTGCAAATGAGAGCCTTTCATGGCCTCCTTGTTTTTATCTGCATGTGCATAACCAAACAAGCTCTCTATCATCTCTTCACTAAACCTGTTACAAATACAAAAAAGAATAAAACCAAACATCAATTTCTGTACTGGGATGGTTAGTATCCAAAATGTGAGTGTAATATGAAAAGCAGTATTTAAATGTCTCACTGGAAGGATCCTGATTTTATCTGATGCCAAACCATTGAGTGATCAGGGTTGGCTAGGACCTTGTCCCAGAAAAAAGGTTTCAGCTTTGTTTTTGGACCATCAGCTGTTTCCTCTTCATCATCACCCGTTGAAGAATGATTGTGTCGAACATGCGATTGCTGAGGTGGCTTTGAGCTCATAGGAGCTGGAGGTGGTGGTGGACGTGGACCAGTCTTGCCAGCAGGAATGGGAGGTGGTGGTGGTCCAGGAGGAGAAGAGCGTGGGCCTCCAGAGGAAGGCCTTAGTGGTAAAGATGGAGGTGGAGGGGGAGCCGAAGGAGCTGCTTTAGGTGGAGCAGGAGGAGCTGGAGGAGGTGCCTTAGCCTGAGGAGTGGGAGCCAGAGCATCTGTGTTAGCCAGAGCAGGAGAAGCTGGAGGGACTGTGTTAGCATAAGGTAAGGGGGCATTGGGATATACCCTACCAGGGGGAGGCTTCAGTGGAGGTAGCCCAGCTATGCCCTGGACCGAGGTGACATCAGCACTCGAGAGAGCTTCTACAGGAACCTCAGTTTTAGATATATTGGGTGACTGTGTCCCCACGTAGAAATTCCCACTGAAGCGGTGACTAGTGGAGAAACTCCCACTAGAATGGTGTTTAGACGAACGGGTACTAGATTTCTCATCGATCAATGAATTCCCTGGAGCAAATGATTTACCAGGACAGTCAGAAACTTTGAATTCGAAAACATAGCAAGGAAAAATCACTATTACCCCTTGGTTATGAGATCATAATTATAGTCCAACCTCACGGTTTAAAAAAATCAGATAGTCACCCTTGAGTTTGACTAATTCTCACAATTTCCCCAACCCCTCACTATTTATCTCACATGTCTCCATATTATTTTCAAATTTAACAAATGCTGTCTAAAATATCCGCTCTTAGAAGTCAAAGCACTTTTCCTTCATCATTGAAGGCTATGGCTGCTGGTCGATATTCCGTTGCATTTGCTGCTTGTAAAAGAAATGTCTTACAAAGTAGAAGTGGAGGAATGATGAGCAAAAATCATGTCTTATAATGATGAAGATTTTTTTTTTACTTTTAAGAGAGGATATTTTAGACAATTCTCATTAGAACTGACAGTCAATTGGAGTCAAGGGATGAAAAGTAAAAGACAGGGTGAATGAGGAAGTTGTGAGGCAAATCAATGTTCACGAGACAAGTTGGCTTTGAAGCAGTTGGACTACTGTATATGACCTAACCTAGAGGGGTTTGAGTAATTCTCTGAGATAATATTAATAATCAAAATAGAAGTTAAGTCAGTTACAGAATAAAGGAATCCAAAATGAACATGAACTTACCGATAGGGTAGTCACTTAAGCTCAAGCATAAGAGAGGTCTTTCATCATTTGGTCCCCTTCGGGGTCCAATCCAGCAACACTTGAAATAGCATATAAACAGCAGGGAAACTACAAAAAATGTCAATGTAGCAGTGACAGATACAGCAACTGCCACTGTTCTGTGGTTGGTAGTTTCCTTTTTTGATGATGGTACAACATCTGAATTAGAAGGCCCACTAACTTCAGGTTGCAAGCTTGAGTTACTAACAACTACCGGGAAGAATGGCAGTATGGGAGGCTGAGCAGGTGGTGGGGTGTCAGAGACTGAAACTGCTACTGCTGCACCTGCACCAAGTGATGTCGCTACCGGAGATGGCGCAGGTGCTTCCCCATTGTTCTGAACTAGTTCACGACGTCTGGGAGTATCACCAAACCAAGAGAATAAAATATCCAAACACTGGGCATACCAATTTTTTGGACCCCTTTCCTCCCCAGAGACGAGAAATTCAAGATCATTTCTACATAAACAATCTAGTAGGGATTGTTTCACCAGTGGATGCAGAATGGTTTCAAGTTCACTTTTGGGTGACTGCCAATTACTTCCAGAACTGATTTCATTATTCTCACCATACTTTTCCTCTAGGACGAAAAAATCATGGTCTTCAACTGCTTCCTTTGCATGCATCAGTTCTATCCCACAGTTTAGCCATACTAGCTCAGCCTGTAGAAAGACAACTTTGTTCGATTACCATAGGTTTGTACATTTACTATACATGCACGAGGGTAAAATATATTCATTTTCCAGAATCCATTGAACTGGGAATAATAAGAAATAGGTCTGTGACTCTGTGTGCACATACTTATGTGATCCTTTTCCTGTTTTGGGGATTTCAAGCCCACAAGTTCTAGTGAATGATCACTTATCAGTTTTAAATATGCAACATATTCAACTATTCAAGTCATAAGCTTAATTCTTCAAAGAGTTTGCAGAGATTTTAGATGAAGAAAATGTGTAAAGTATGACTTGACTACTTGAGAAACACTAGCATTCTTATGTGACTTTCACCATCTTCAGCAAGCAATGAGCTAAAGCAAGTTGAGTATGTCATGTTCAATCACAATGATAAGCAACCAGCTTCAAACTATTATCACATAAAACCACTATTTGTTCCCATTTAGAGCATAAGGCGAGTATGTAGGCTCCTAAGATCCATCACTTTCCACCCAAACCATCGTATAATTGTATGGAACAAATAATGAATATTATAGTTCAGTTAATAGAAGTAACCTCACTTTTCTCCTAATAATGTACTCCGTATTTCTTATCATATTAACCTGACAATTTTAAGGGACCCATATGTACATACTTAAAGGTGAGGACACTCTTAGCCTCTTAGGTGCCAACGCTACTGGAGAAAGAGGAAAAATAACTTAAAAGTTATTTTCTTATATTTGGTTTAACTTTGAAAAAATACAAAGGATAACCAAATATTGATTTATTTAGTTTGAACATAAAATTTCATTTCCCCACTAATTTTATTTCATTCCCTTCTGCAATCTATTCGACCCTACCATTTTCCTTATCCGAACGGACCCTTAGTGTCAGCTCTACACTTCTAACCAGCTGATGAAATAGATACATGGAAGGCACTGCCTTATTTGGAAGCATTAGTTTATGAGATCCCCTAAATATTCATTCATAGCTGGGTTTAGATATTGTGAATGGCCTACTTTTTCATGGTGAAGAGCATACACTACTCGGAGATTAAGAAATAGAATTTTTTTTAAAAAATACTCCCTAAGACCGTTCACTGGAAGTCTGGAACTTTATCTACTCTGAGGCAGAGGTTCAACTATTCAAGGAACAAGCATGTCTATGTGGTGAATTTATAATCATAGATTCTCATCTCTCTTTAAAACTTATTAGTAATCTAATACGTAGTATCAGGGCCGGCTAGAGCAATTATGAGGCCCTAGACGGTCATGTAGAAATTTTGTTTTAAATATGTTTTATTTAACCCAATGATATAAAACATAGCAATTAAATATAAGTAAATTACATATAAAATACATCATATACTATTAACACAGTGAGAATATTCTTCGAAATCAGAAGATCAAAGTTGATGAAAAAATACAAAGAGCCCTAGAGGGAGAAGGTTTTGTGCTTACATACAACATACCGATCGATAGAGCCGGAAAATGATTTCATGACCAAATCATTTCTTAATTTTTTTCTTTGTCTTTGTACATCTTGATTCATATTTTGTTTTCCAATCATCACAAAACATAAAATTTCATTCAAAATAATACTATCACTAAATATAAGTTAATGGTTCATAGATATAAATTTAATTCACTAAATTTAATCAAATATAAAAAATTATAAGTATGTTCAATATTTCGATGAATCAAAATAACAAATTACAATTATTCAAATATATTTAGAATACTCATTATCCTAAATCCCTAGCCCTACTGCCCTAGCCAACAAAAAAAAAAGGAAAAAGGAGCAAATAAGCCCACATACTAACCAAAAAGGTCAAATAAGCCCTTGTATAAGAGACTTTGTCCCGCCGTCACCATTTGGGGCAGTTCCCGGTGGAATTTTTTGATGAATTTTTTTGAGAATCTTATTCATTAAGTCTTGTTTACTTATACCAAATTTCAGCTAACAATTCAACAGCATTCAAATAAATTCTTGAAGATAACTGCGCTTTTAACTGCGCAGTTATCTTCAAGAATTCATTTGAATGTCTTCTCAATTGAATTTTTAGGTGAAATTTGGTATGAGTAAACTAGACATAATGAATAAGATTCTAAAAAAAAAATCATCAAAAAATTACAAAGGAAACTATACCAAATGTTGAAGGCCGGACAAAATCTCCTAAATAATATTAATAAGCTTATTTTATAAATTAGAGGCCCTAGACACTTGTCTAGGGTAACTCCCCTATGGCCGGCCCTGCCGTTAGTATGTGATAAAAGTAACTTGCTCTGCAATGCTAATTGTGTGGTCAAGGTCAATGCTGCTAAAGAAAAACACTTCTGTGATCAGCTTCTTCCATCTTAATCAGCAGATGCATCCAAACAAAATTGAACCAACTCATTACTTCGATCGTAGAAATACAAAGCTAGAAAGATATCATCATATTAAGCATAAAAATACATACCCCGCCATGGAGTATATCCCTGGAGTTGATTAGCCTGAATAATATATCCTCTTCTGGCCTACTTTTGTAGTCATGGCAAGTTCCCTTCGAAGTGACAAGCAGAACCAGAGATAAAACTAATAAAAGTGCTCTATTAGTACACATTAGCTCCTGACTTGGCATTCAAAACCCTCTCAGTGTTTTTCATCGATCATCAGTAAAATCAATCTCAGTAAATCCTTGGAGCCCTAAAAGCCCCCCCAAAAATACCCTCCTTCTCGCTCAACTCTCAGTAGCAATAGTCAACTAACGAAGTATATGTCCACCCAGAAAACCTAAAGATGTCTCAATAAACTTTTAATCCGAAATCTTAGTGACCCGTTACTGAACTTCATCAAAAAATCAAATCAAGTGGTCAACCACACTCAGAGGAAACAGGAAATCGAATGTGAAACAATCCGTTTCTTGTAAAAGTTACTTTGAATTAAAATCCAAAACTGAAAATGCAGAAAGATAATAGCTCCAAGAAGCTCGATTAATCCAAAGCTTCCTTCCCAAAACCCAAAGAGAAGTCCTTTTGACTAAAAGTCCTCGGCTGAGTCATTTTTCCAAATGAATAGATCAAAGCATATGAGATCCCTTAACATAAACAATGGGTTACAGAAGAGATGTGGTCAAAGAACCGACGTTTGGCTTGAGCGCGTAAGTTGACCAGGAAAGGTCTTGTTGCAGGGTATATTTCATCTGCTGAGAAAGCAAACAGAAGTTTACAGATGAATTCTTTTCATTTTCTTTTTGAAAGTAACGCGATAAACACACGTATCGTTTTAAACAGTGATTTAAGAGGTGATTTGATAATATTGTTTTTCAGCTTATCAAGTTTATTGGTCAACATTTTCATCAAAGACGTAAGTTTTGTTTTCATGCACTGAATTGTGTAATAATTAGTAAAAGTAAAGTTGAAGTTACATTTCTGGCTGTATTAACTTTTTTTTAATAAAATCATCAAAATCAGTCAATGTAGTCACTTTAGCTAGAACTTCATAAATTTTAGCAAAATAAGCCGAATCAGCCGATTTTCGTGTTAACAAACAGACTCTAAATAAATAAAGATGATGAGTATTCATGATTAGTGGTGAAGCCATGAGAAAATGTAAAGGTACTTCTGATTTTCCAAATTATTCTCAAAATTAGTTTTTGAGAAGTTGAGAAAAACTGATTTTGATTCTAATTTTATTTTTAAAAAAATAAATATAAGCATAATGATTTATATAAAGGATGACACTCATTCCCAAAGACCTCAACATCAGATGTATTAGTTAACTGAGAGGATGTAAATTGGATTTCAACCAAATTTAGGTAGACAGTGAATGAGTTTTGATCCATGCACTTGCAAGTACACGGTACATTTTACATAGTAACCACTATCCTCCTATCACACTCGAATAGAGATTTAACCCACTGAGTCACTCTTATCTATCATCTGAGTTAGATCGGGGGAGCAAAATGAATTCCAAACACGTCCATAAGTCCATTACCATTCTTGCCTCATTTCAAAATGTCATTTTGACCCTCTAATTAAAGTTTAAAGTTTGGAACTGATTCTGCTTTTGCTTTTTTAAAAGCGGAATCAGAATCAGTTTTCAGAAGCTGGTCTCGTATAATTAAAAAAACTGATTCTAGGAGTAAATTAGAGCACCATAAATACTTCTGCACTATCACCTAAACACTCCGACTTCTGCTTCTGCTTCTTGGAGAAGCAGAAATAGTTTTAAGAATCAGATCCAAACACCCACATAGTCACTATAGTGGTAGAATTGAAAATAATCATCGTCACTAAAGGCCCTAAAGTTACTAAGATAGTCACTAAGTCATACTACTTTCGTCCCAATTTACTTAGTCATCTTTGACTTTACCGGTCAAAAGTGGTAAATTTTGACCAATTATTTAAACTAATATATTTATGCAAAATTTAATAATTTTATGCTTTTATGATAATAGTTTTAATAAAGAACGTTTTCATATTATTTTCATATTATTAATACTTTCTCTATATAAACATATAATCCGTCGTTAAATTTGGCTTATATATTTGTCGTAGGTTTTGCTTCCTTCGTTCACGCATGATGCATGAGCTTCAAAACAAATTTAAAACTATTAGCTCGATATGAAAGTAGGTGAAAGTGGGAATGCAAATAGGCACTCTCTTCTGAAATTGAATTCTCTCCGGCTCTAATTCAATTTAATTTTTTAAGACATCAATTTTTTTATGGGAAAATCACTAATTATTATTACTGAAATCATGGTCCACAAATACTATAGTACAAGAGGGATAATTAATAACCACAACGACTTTTAATTGTGTCCAAAAGGTGAATTACGTTTTTAAAGGAAAAAGTGAATTGAAATACGTTAATCATCCATTATAATTATTTGGATTTTCAGTGCAACATGAACGTAACTAATTAGTCGCTGTAGGGAGAAATGGCCATATTTGAACAATTTGACGGCTACAATTATGTATCCTGAACAACAATTTTCGGTCGTCAAAGTTTAATAAATAATGCAACAAGAATGTCATATTCCAATAATTTTCTACAATAATATTAAATAAAGTTTAATAGCTGTCCTATTGCCTAATAATGTTACATTCGTTGGATCAACATAAATGCATATTGGACGCCCTAAACATTTTCAATTATAATCAAATATACAGTACGACAACTCATTGATTTTTGGCATCGTAGTTAAGGTCAATTCAAAAGTAGAATAATAACGATAGAAATTTGAGATAATGTTAAAAAATATCTCAAATAAGAGTGAAAATAATACTCCGTATGAATTTTGAAAATAAAATGAATATTGCATAGATTTTTCACCTAAATGACAGTAATCATTTAAAAAACTGACAAATATGACATTATTTTAAAAACTGACAAATATGACACTATATAATGTCACACTAATATTTGCAATGTCAAAATATTTATTCATGCTTGATAAAATTTCTTGTTATTTGTGTTAACGACATTTAGGGGGGCTTATTGGACATGTTATTTGTCTAGGAATGTACAACTCCAACTTACACATATAACAAAAAAATTTATATATTTAATTTGCCGGTTTAAAGTATACTCCGTATTATATATGGAAGGGTTCTAGCTAGTGATAATCCCTTCAAAATGAGAACTCTTTATAATGCATGAGATCAAATGACTTTTCATGCACATGTCGGAAGATAGATTATAGGGAGTTAACATGATTGACCAACATGAAGATTTCTTTCTAAACTTTCCAAAAGGAGCAAATCCGTCTGAACATAATCTCAATCGCACATTCCGTGGCTCCATTGCAAACTGAGGATGACAACGGTCAAAGTGTCTCCAAGTTTCACAGTCTGAAGGGTGACACATCAAACCCTCTTTGGTTTCGTGCTCAACATGCCATGTCATGTGTTTCACAGTAGCATTTGAAACATATATCCTCTTTAGACGTGGAGCTAGTGGGAGGTAAAACAATTTAGACAATGCAAACCTTTTTCGTGGTTTTTTTCTTTTGAGGAAAAAGTTTGTATTTGTCTCGACCACTAAACTTGCAGCTCTCAAGTGTCTCATCATCCTTCCAGAACAATATACATCCTTCAGGGCACACATCAATTTCTATACAAGGAAGCCCTAACTGAGAAATTAATTGCTTCATGTTGTAATATGAATCGGGAAGACTGTGGTCAGGCGGTAGCATTCTTTCAATTGACTGCAACAGCCTAGACATGCAAGTTTCAGGGATACTGTATTCAGCTTTAATGTTCATAAACTCTGAAACGGTGGATAGCTGAGAGTATCCCTCACAATCATCATACATAGATTGATCAGCAGCTTTTAGAACATCTTGAAATCTCTCAGCTAAACCTTCAATATGAGGAACATGAGAATTCGGATCTTCATCCACACCAGGTTGATAAAAGATCGGATTTTCATCCGCATATGGTTGATACGATGTCGAGGCTTTAGGAGGATCATTAAATGGTTGCGGAGGGTTAAACTGAGACATCGAGGCACCATATACATCATATACCATTTTTTGATCTGAGTTCATTTGAGCATAGTCTCCCCACCCACTCATCTCGTTAGGGACGTTACGAGATGAACCTACTGTTTGTGGTAAAAGTGATGGATCAAAAGGTCCGCCATGAGAAGTCCAATTATAACAATATTGTCAACGAAACCTTGTTCGTACAAATGCCACACAACCTTGTCAGTGTCTTTAAATTTGAGATTTTTACACTTGGCACATGGACATCTGATTTTATCACCATCCATACAGTTAGGGCGTTCAAGTGCAAATTCAACGAACTCCTGAATTCCATCAAGAAACCTGGCTCGCATTCCGTACAATTCGGCATGTTTATCATACATCCAACTTCTATTTTGTCTATACATTATACCTGAATATTATAATCAAAAAATTTTAATATTGGTTAAAAACTATAAATTATAAACATTAACAATAAATTGTTATGTTTAATATATTCACTAATTAATATTTAGGAACATTAATATATTAAATTTCACTAATGTTCACTACAATTAAGTAACCTTCAATTAATATTATTTATTAACTAAAAGCAATACGTTTGTGGCGTTAATCATTTCAATTAACTAACTTTTGAATCATAACTAATTAATATTTAGGAACATTAATATATTAAATTTGACTAAAGTTCACTAAAATTAACTAACGTTCAATTAATATTATTAATTAACTACAAGCAATACGTTAATGGTATTAAGCATTTAAATTATTAACTAATTCACAATATTAGGATTTTAACACTGAATACACTAAATAATTACGTTAATGGCATTAATTCACAATACTAAAATTATGAAAATCTAATAATACACACTAACTAACTAACATTTAAATTAAATGAAATTCAAATAAATCACAATAATAATTCACACTAAAGTAATGTTTCAATCCTAACTTAAATCATTATAAATCCTAAATTAGGCATTAAAAATAATTGCTAATAAACAAACTAATAGTATTATAAACCCATTTCAATTAACCAATATTTAAATTTAACTTATATTATCAATTCAAATCCTAAATTAACGGTATTACCAATAATAGAAACATTAATATACATTTCCAAACGTATTTCAAATATATGCAAAATAAGTTATGACATCACTAGTTTATAGTTAAATGTATTGTTAATTAATTAACAACCTCACTAATTTCACAATTTTAATTATTTAAAACGCAAAAATTAATACCACTTAAAAACAATACATAATTCAAATGACATACCTTATCTGCATAAATAGGGAAAATGACATAAGATAAATTACATCCATCAATCTTTCAACAGATAATGTATTGTACTCTGATTGATTTTTAACTGGTATGAGTCGAATGAAATTGCTTTGCCATATATAAAATATTTTGTCAAGGATAATTCCGTGACAAACACTTTTCCGTACACCATTAATACCATGACCGTTGAAATATCAATAATTCAGCGTTGTTACGGATTTTGTCACGGATCCGGCCGTGACAAAGTGCGCAGAACTAAAAAAATTGGCCAGAGTAAATTGTCGGTCGCTAGAAGCTTTTTGTCACGGAAAGAATCCGTGATAAACTGTCGTCACGGATTTTGTCACGGATAAATCCGTGACAAAATATCTTGGTGACAAATCAGCCAAATCCGTGACAACGGCCGTGACAAGTTTGTCACAGACCAAATCCGTGACAAAACGGATGTTTTTTTGTAGTGACTTTTAATCTCAATTTTTCATTTATTTCACTCAATGATCATTATCAACTAAAGTCATATTCATATTTACCCCATATATCGATTATGGATGATACACACAAATCGAGAAATGGACCACATATTCCAAAATCCTAAATTTTGGAATTAATCCTAAATATTTCCAAAATGCCACCTTCTCATTATTAGTCATTGATTATAAAAATGAATGATGTTAATTAGAAGTTCTTATTTTATAAGAACCCCAATTATATATATATATATATATATATATATATATATATATATATATATATATATATATATATATATATGTGTGTGTGTGTGTGTGTGTGTGTGTGTGTGTGTGTGTGTGTGTGCGCGCGTGTGTGTGGTACTCTTCCGGTCAGGAATTCCTGACCGGAACCGCCGTCCGGACGACGGCATTTGGGGCTCTTCTCGGTGAAATTTTTTAAACAAATTTTTATGTCATGTTCTTCACCAAATCTAGTTTATCCGCAAAACCTTTCAGCTAAAAACTCAATCGAGAAGGCCGTCAAATGATTTTTGGAAGATAACTGCGCCGAAAATATACATATAAAACGCAGTTCACTTTCAAAACTTGTTTTACGACCTTCCCGATTGAAGTTTTAGCTGAATTTTTTTGTGGATACACTACACTTGATAAAGAAGATTTCATAAACATTTCATCAAAAAAGTGGACTGGGAAGAGACCGAAACGCCGCCGTCCGGACGGCGGTTCTTGTCCAGAATTCCGGACAGAAATCTCTCTCTCTCTCTCTCTCTATATATATATATGTGTGTGTGTGTATGTATATATATATATATATGTATATGTATATATATATGTGTGTGTGTGTGTATATATATCTATATCTATATATATATCTATATATCTATATCTATATATATATCTATATATATATATCTATATATATATAGGGGAAAGATCAAGTACAAACTGTGCTTATTGTGCAAATGTTTGTACGATGCACCTTGACGTTATTTGCATTGCATATTGAGGTTCAAAGTGTTGCATATTATATAGTCGTAAAATAGCAGTTGCACATTTACGTTCAATGAGTTGCACCCTAGAAAAGCTAGGTTTTATTACAAAAATGCCACCTTCAATTGATATCCTTTAGATCAACTCATCGGATGGCCAAGATAAGTTTGTACTTTGTAAATTAAGCATGATTTGTATTTGATCTCTATTATATATATATATATATATATATATATATAGGGTGCGGTTCCGGTAAGAACAGTCTCTTAGGAGAGAAATGAGAATGAATCTAGACCGTTGGATTGTATTATGTGGAACTGAATTGTGCATTTGCTGAAACTGAAATGTGCATTAAATGATATTGAAATGTGCAGAATAAAAGTTTTAACTCACATGTGCATTAGGTGAAAGTAAAATGTGCCGAATAAAAGGTACAAAAATAACATCACATCCTACCTTTTATTCCGCACATTTCAGTTTCACCTAGTGCATATTTCAATTTCACCTAATGCACTATTCAGCTTCACATAATGCCACTATATCATACCTTTTGTGCTGCACATTTCAGCTTTCACCTAATGCACATTACAGTTTCATCTAATGCACATTGAATTTCACTTAAATCAAATCCAACGGTCCAGATTCATTCTTATTTCTCTCCTTAGATCATGTTCTTATTTGAACCAAAACTTACACACACACATGAAAATGACCACCTCAGCTAGTTCTGACGGGAAGCCCCGTCCCACGAGTGATCACTTGATGCTTCACATCCGACTAGTCGGGATGACGAGGAGTAGGCATTTTTTTTTAATTTGAAAACTCATGGTTGCTGGAGGATGAATGTTGGGATGTGGTACAAAGATCATGGTTTAAATCTGGTGAACTATTTGTATGGGAAGGGTCGGTGGGCTGTGGCATTGAGTTGGAATTATGGAGTAAGAAACATCGGGTCAGCTTCCAAACTCGAATTGATGTGTGCAAAAATCGTTTAGCGACGCTTCACAAAGAAAGGGGTAGATGGAACAAGGCCGAGTTCCAACGGGTCAAGGATGTGCTGATGGATCTTCTTCATAAACAAAGTATTTTTGGCAGCTAAGGGTGAAAGAGTTCTAGCTCATGGAAGGCGATAAAAACACTAAATTCTTTCATAATGCTGTTAAACAGAGGAGAAGGAGAAATAGGGAAATTATTGAATCCGGTGGGCGAATGGGTATGGGATAGAAGTAGGCTGGGGAGATAATACATCAATATTATGAATAACTTTTTGGGTCCAACAGATCAGAGGCTAGTGGCTGCTTAATGGAGGGGCTAACAAGAGTGACTGAGAGCTAGAATCAGGCTTTGCACAACCTTATCACAGCGGCGGAGGTGAAAACAACAGTCTTTGCTATGCATCCCGACAAGGCACCTGGACCAGATGGCTTAAACCCCGAATTTTATCAGCATTATTGGGACATTCTTGGGGCAGACATTGTTAGGTATTGCCAATATCTTTTTCGGGAGGGCCATATCCCTAAAGAAATTAATAAAACTAATTTGATCTTAATCCCCCAAAAGGATAAACCTGATAATCTGGGTGACTGGAGGCCTATTGACCTTTGTAATGTGGTAATGATTTTTTTTACTAAAGTGTTAGCTAACAGACTGAAAGTTATTCTGGATGGCCTAGTATCCACCAATCAGAGTGCATTTGTCTCGGGTAGACTCATAGTGAACAATGTTATGATTGCATTTGAGACATTGCATTATTTAAAGCATAAAAGGCCAGAGAAAGGATGAATCTGTGGTCCTAAAATTAGACATGAGCAAAACATATGATAGGGTGAAATGGAATTATCTGGAACAGATTATGGAAGGTATGGGTTTTAATACCCACTAGATTAGACTTATTCGAACTTGCATAGAGTCAATGAAATATTACATTCCTTTTGAAGGTGATCTGGTGGTCCTATTATCCCTAGAAGGGGCCAGAGACAGGGAGATCCTTTATCTCCTTATCTATTTATCCTGGTTGCTGAACGCCGATCTGAGTGCGATGATTCAAAAGCAGGAGAAAATGGGAAACATCGTTGGGGTGGCGGTGACGAGAGGAGCTCCAAGAATCTGTCACTTATTTTTTGCTGATGACAACTATCTTTTTTCAGAGCGAGAGACAATGAATGTCAGGTGGTTAAACATATCCTCAATATGTATGAAGCAGGTTCGGACGAGCAGGTTAATTACCAAAAATCTACAATCTTGTTCAGCCCAACTCTGGAGGAGGTAAATAGGGATTATATTCGTAACCTTTTTGGTGTTAACATGGAGAGCCATAACTCGAAGTACCTCAGACTATCAGCACTATTGGGGCGGAAGAAAAGGGACATTTTGGGCTACTTGAAAGAACGAATTGTTGGAAGACTCAACAGCTGGAAGAACATATTTTTATATAAGACAGGGAGAGAAATAATGCTTAAGACAATGATCTGGGCCATGTCTACTTATGCCATGAATGTGTTCTTGTTGCCAAAGGAAATATGTTCTGAAATAGAGATGATTATGAATGGGTATTGGTGGAGGGGAGCCGATCAGAATAATGGTGGAATCTGGGATTCGATGGAAGAGTTGACAAACACTATGTATACCTAAACAGAAAGGGGGTTTGGGATACAGGTCCTTGAGAGAATTTAATATAGCTATATGTTAGGAATTATTTGGAGTAGCATTATCCAGGCCCATGAGTCTGTTGCTCGGAGAGGTCGACGTGAGGTGGGAAACAGAAGGACTATTTCGGTTTGATAGGAGAAATGGTTGCCAGGTTGTGGGGATGGAATGATACATACCCCTTCGCCAGCAGGGAATTGCAGACATGAATGTGGCAGCTCTCCTAAATGAGACCGGGGACGAATGGAATGTGCATAAGGTGGCATCATTATTTGCGGTAGATAAATGCAAGTCCATTCTCTCTATCCCTATTAGTAAGAGAAGGCCTTTAGATGATTGGTGGTGGGTAGAAGACAACAGAGGTACTTACACGGTTAAAAGTGGTTATAGAGTCCTTCGTGGTGAATGCAATATTAATGAATGGTCCTCCGTCCGGTCCGATCCAAGAACTCGTGACCCCTGTCCGGTCCGATCCCTGACCCAGCGGTTCAGTCTTGGTTATTTGAAATCACTTTTTAAAGTGAAAAGTTTTAAAAGAGTTGTTGAGTTGTCAACCAATAGTGAAATGGGAAAAGAATTCGTCAAACTAACCGTTAAGATCGACAAGTCCCAATCGATTTCAATCCTGACTTTCCTCTACGTGAGGATCTGGTACCCTACTTGGGTGCACTAGGTTTGATTTCGGAATGGGACAATGCTTTCAGTCCTTTGGAATCGGGTGAAAATTTTTGATGAACATATTTTCAGATTTGAAAATGGAAAACAAAAAAATGAAAACAGAAAATTGGAAAACGGAAAACTGAAATAGAAAACTAGAAAATATAGACCCCAAATTTTGCAAATAAACTTGCCAGGGCGGGAGTATGATTCAACCTTATGGGACGTGAATGAAAGGGTGGCGTTGATTTTGCAGGGCATTTCATCTGATGCCCGTGCTTTGTTAAACACAACGAACTGTGCGATGAAGATGTAAAAGAAATATTCTCTCTTTTCAACATTATTATTATTATATTCCCACAGAAGAATTTGTTCTGCATTACCGGCCATTTGCTGCACTGTTCATTTATTTATTTGTTTATTTATTAAAACGACGAGTATGAGATTGGCTCTACAATGACAAAAAATGCCCTTGAGGCTGGCCGAATGACGATGAGCAGCAGCCAGAAACAAGTTGAGGTTTCCTTTGAAGATTCAAATCCGCAGAAATGGCGAGTTCCACTCAAGGAAGACAGTTTTCGCAGCTTCATGGAGAAGGAAAAAAACAACGCAACCGCGCAGAAGGTTTTTGCCCGAGGTTCTCTTTTCAGCCCTTTTTTGTTTGGGAAATTCTTCGACCCTTCTGATGCTTTCCCACTGTGGGAGTTCGAGGCTGATCTTCTGTTGGCAACACTTCGCTCTTCAAATCATCACTGCAACGTTGATTGGCTCCAATCCGATGCCGATTTTACACTAAAAGCTGAACTACCAGGTCAGATATGGCTTCCAGTCTTTCATTTTATCACTACTCCTAAAATTTCCGACCAAGTGTAAAGATGGTAGGAAGTAATTTGAGTTCTATCGTGAAGTTCATGAAACTTTAACCAGATGAGTTTCAATATTTATATATAGTATCTTTAAGGGTTAAGCATTATTTCCATCATTTGAAATGGAACCAAAGATTCATTATTTTTTGGCTTGAGATTACGATGGAATAAAGCAAAATGACTCACTAAACTGTCTGCGCTTCTTTGCAATGAAGCAGCAGTCAGTCCATGAATTTTGGACGCGATTTTCACTATGGGTCATCTGGAGCCTTTGCGGCACTGGAGTAAATGAAAATGATGAAATGATGATCTTTAAGGGTTAAGCATACTCTGAAACCTACTTGCTGAAATTATGTGTGAGACAGAAACGATCTAATCACATGTCTTTAATGTCATAGTATTAAGAATTGAAGTTCCATACAGATAATGGTATAATACTTCACCTGCATATTAACAGAGTTATCAAAGTATACAATTTTGAGTTATTTGCTCCTATAAGGGTTAAGCAGACTCTAAAACCTACTACCTGAAATTATGTATGAGACAGAAACGATCTAATCACAAGTGTTTTTAATGTCATAGTATTAAGAATTGAAGTTCCATACAGATAACTCTTCACCTGTATATTAACAGATTTATCAAAGTATACAATTTTGAGTTATTTGCTCCTATCATATTTAGAGATGTACTTATTTTGGAGTCTTGCATGGACAAATGAAGACAAAATACTAACATATATTAACAATATTTTGTGTTGAACAAATTTATAGGCCGGATTCAAGTTTTCAGTTGTGGCTTATGGTCTAATTGAATGATATCATGATACTAACGCTATACTAATCCTGGCATGCTCTAGGATCAGTTCCTAACTATAGATTTTAATATTCTTGCATTGTGGCTTGTTCATCAACCCTCAGTTCGGTCATAGTTCCAATTACTCGATCCAGCTAAATGAATATTATGTTACAACATGTGGATCTTAACATCCCATGAGACTTCCGTTGGGAACGGGCAATGGCCTGGTAGTCCACTTGATGGAGAGTGTTAGAGGCTCATGTCACAAATAAAGGGAAACCATTGTATTATGGGATCTCTTATGGAGACGATCAATTCGATTAAAAAAAATTAGCCTGGGATTGGTCCATGATCCAATTGATGAATTGAATGATATCAACCCAATCTTAGATTCTGCCAATATAAATTCTAAGTGTGATGCCACACAAGTGTGCCAAGCTACAATTTTGGGCCATTTAGGTTGATTTTTAGGATGATATTTCGAGTTCAGTAATTACTACGTCCATTTAACGAGATAGCTATGATGATTTTTTGATAGGTTTTCTTTTGGTTTCACACGTAGTTCTCATTTCATTTTTTCTTAAGAAAAATGCTTGGTTTTGGTGTGGTAATGACAGGAGTAGGGAGCAGTGGCGTTCAGATCTGTATTGAAAACCGAAAAGTCTTGGAAATCAGGGGAGTGTGGAGGGAGCAGCAAAGAGAAGGTGGAGGGAGCGACTGGAAAAGCAGCAGCCATTGGTGGGAACATGGATTCGTACGGAGGATTGAACTCCCTGAAAATGCAGATTGGAGGAAAACAGAGGCTAACATGAATAACGACCCTATGTTCTTACAGATAAGCATTCCAAAGGCTGCTGCTCCGAACCCTTAAATGTCTCCAGCAAGCAACAATGAAGCAAAAGACTCCGAAAATGCTTTACTGATTCCAGATAAAGGAGTACTATCACAGAAGTATGTATATATTCCTGTTTGGCAACCCCAACTAAACGGTTTGACTATAAATAAAATAATGTAATCAATACTAGCTACTTACTCTAGTTCCCTAACAATCAATTATAGTAACTCTTATGTTTTCAATCAAGAGAACAAAGACTTATATCCATGTTGACAACACAAAAGGAAGCATTAACTGCTCCCCACTCCTGCCCCCATCTTATATATAAGTTATGCTTGTTTATTTTTAAGTCTAGTGTAAAGCGTATTTGTCAGTAATGGTATGATGAGAACTTTTTAAGTTCCAAACCCAAAGATGAAAACTTAACTGTAAGCATTACATTTGACGGTGGAAATTCACCATGAGAGATCGTGGAACGGTCCAGACAAATTGGAGACAAGCCATATGGAATGTTGAATGGCCAAGGATCCGGACCAGGTGAATTAGGCTGAGCTGTATCGTCCAATTGTTGATGTATAGGTGGCATTGCAGATGGGATGACATGTATGATGTAAAAACCAAAAGGGTGGACATATGGACTTTTTGAGAGATGCTTCATAGTTCATACTTGGAACGAGAAATGGAAGCAGGCTATATGATTGATGTAGATGGTCTGTTCTCGAGTTGTAAGTCGCTGAGCCTGTGTTATTTAGTCTTGTCTAGCTCGATGTAAGAGTAAAATGTCAAGTGCAGAAGCTAGAGTCCGATCGGAAGTTGGAACCCCTCTCCAAGTGCTCAGACGTGCTATATTTATTATTTAATGTTGCAAAATACCTTAGCAAATGTCAATACTTTCAACGGAAGGCAGTGACGTCAAAACTATGATCATCTCTCTTGCTTGTTCTATGTTTAAAACTGTCTAAATAGAAGTTATGATCCACTTTCAATGAAATCTTAAAAGTTAAAACTTAAAGAACTCTTAGCATATTAGAGTACTAAAAAAAGAAAGAATGTCACAAATAATACTATAGGCTTTTCAATGGATAAAAATAAGAACAAATTTGAACTTGATAAAAAAAGACATATTACAAGTGGAAGGACTGAAATGCCTTTAACCTGACTCATCCTTCAGCCTCCCCTTACACCTCCCTCGTTCCATACCAGCCATCTTCGTGTGCATCGGCTCTCCATAAGAACCATGGCGGTGACAGCTACAATCAATGATCGCGGCTATGACCAATGACGACACTGGTGGAGACTGGAGACTACTAACGATGATGAAGGCAGCGATAGAGAGATGGTCACTGTTGGATTGGTCAATGCGTTTATTAGGCACGAGAGCTTCTACTTCTTCAATTTGGCATTGTCGATTGCAATTAATTTCTTCCTTGTGAACACAAGAGAACGTCAAACGACATAGATATGCTTTTGCTCAGTCTTTGCGGATTAATTGATGTCTGTTTAAGCAAGATGAAATAGTGGTGTGATCGACAACTAGGCCTTCAAATGTCAGCGACAACTAGACTTACAAGCAGAGTGGGCAGAACCGATGGCGACTTAGGTCACTACACACAAGGCGAGGACTAGAGCGACAAGAGCGTTAGTGTGAGGTTGTTACAGACGTGAAAAAGTGGGTCACGGTTACGGCGAGGTCATTGGGTGATGAGTCACATGGGTGAAATACCGTGGAGGATCTAGGAAAATAAAGTGTTAGTGGCAAGGTTGTTAAAATCGTATATTTTGATCGAATCGGTACAAGGATTTAAAAATCGAATCGTAAAATCGAATCGTAAATCGTAAGATTTTACAAAATAATTAAATAAAATATGAAAAATATTAAGTAAAAGGAAAACTCAAAATTTAACCTTATTAAGTTTAAGTCATACAATGATGTGTTAATTAAAGTGAAAAAAATAATTAATAACAAATTAATGTCATATAATCAAAGAGCAAAAATCACCAAAAATAAAATTTTACTCCGTATGTTTTAATCAAAATTCACAATGAATCGTATATGAATGGCAGAAAGTCTAGACCTGTACAAAAACGGGTTCGGGCCGGGCTTTTTATAATCTTTTTGCCCATCATGTGTGGACGGGCCCGGCCCGGCCCGCAAAACGGGCCTAACCCTATGTCCATACCCGCCCATAAGAGCGGCCAGGTAGTCCACCGGGCCGTCCGGCCCTGGAAAACTTTAAATTTTTCAAAATTATATGATTTTTATATACTTTAAAAATAATATTACAACATTTAAAAAATAATTAATACGCTTATAATGTTTATACGTCTTTCACCACATACAAAAGAAATACTTACACAAAAATAATAATGAAAAATTATATCTAAAATTTAAAATTTAAGCAGAAAGTATTATCTTTAAGTACAAAATAGATATTATATTGTTTGGGCACTTGGGCTAGTTGTTAAGAACTAAAAATTTAAATTTAAACATAATAAACTATAAATATGTATAAAGAAAAAGAAAGTAAATATAAATATACATGTGTATATGCAAATAAATAAATAAATCAGTGTATGTATATATATATATATATATGTATGTATATATATATATATATATATATATATATATATATATATACACTAAATGTAGCCCAATCTTATGAACGGGCCTACACCCTAACCCAAGCTCGCCCATATCTTATTGCGGGCCGGACTCGGGCCGGGCCGATGGGTAAATATATATGCCCAAGTCCGTCCATTTGTACGGGCGGGCCGGACCGATTTTGTCCAAGTCTAGGCAGAACTATATAAGTATTCGTATGTTAATTTTGTAGGATATTGAATAAATAATTTAATAGTTAAATTTGAACACAAAGTTCTAATTTACGTATTGGTTATTTGGTTCGCAAATTATATGGTACATCCGGGTGTACACGTACACCCGGTAATTTTGTAATTTCTTCCAACTTTAAACCTTCTTCTCTCATTCCATTATTGCACGTCGATCTCTTCACCATAGACATCGCCGCTCGACCTTCACCATGCTTCCTCGATTCGAGCTTCGTTGTCACCGTCATCGCGGCGCGAAGAGTTTTTCCATGGATACAGACTTACTAGGGGCATATTCCATCTTGCTGCAACCTAATTTGTTGGAGTCTCACCTGGGTTGCTCAATCGCCGGCGCTCCAATCCGTCAAAATTTAGGCATTTCTGGTCCATCGTCGTTCTTCCATCTCCGGTGTTGCAGAGATTCTAGATGACAACGTTGATGCTGTGTATAGATTAGATTTTGGTGATATTGACCTGACAGATCAATCCAACCTTTGCATCATCGCTCTCACATACCAAATGAGCATAACGCTTAAACGAAATGAGCATAAACAAATGAGAATTTGAACACATTAGCGATTTCAAATGACCTTTTGAATTTTTCGATACTCATTTTATAATTATGTATGCTCATTTGGTTCTGACATTATCCTCATTTTAAAATGCCATATAAATTCATAATTCAAAAGTATCATGATGCTCAATATTATACTCCTAATACTCAACAAAATAAATGTAATACTCAGTAAAAGTTCATGAATGCTCATTTGACAGAAACCGTGATGTTATGGTCATTTGTAAAATGTCATATCAATGTATATTTTAAAAGTATCATATCACATAAAATTCGCCAATTACAATTCATAGAGATTGTTTATACATATAATTCAATAAGCTTTATAAAAGAAAAAGGAAATTAGAAAATATGGAGCGAAGATGGTGATGTTCATCGTTATGCTCCTAATACTCATTACAATATGTTTGATGCTCACTAAAAGTACACTTATGCTCATTTAACGAAAACCGCTATTTTTCTCTTAAATTACCAAAATGCCACTGCCTAAAAAATGAACCTTTTGATAATGGGCTATATTAGCAGATGTGTCAGTTATGTGTTTAATTGGACCGGATGTACGGTTCCCACCCGTACACCCGGGTGTACTATATACGAACCGTATTTGGTTGGTTAAGCAATATGTGTAGGCCTGTAGGGTTGGGCGTGGGTTTGACATCCGGCACGGCTAGTTTAAAAAGTTGGGCTATGTTTGGCGGACATAAGTTTCTGCCTTCTAGCTTTTATACTACTTAAAAGTCTTTAAAAGCTTATAATTGTATGTTTGGTACGCCAATTTTTAAGAGTTTTTATAAAAATAAAAGATATTTTTTGAGATGCTACAGTGAGTAGCATCCCAAATAAATCCGTAGCTTCTAACATTAATTAGTCCTAACAGCTTGTATACCAAACATAGCTAAATCAAACAGTCTGCTTTTTACCAAACAACTACGACCTTTTCTTTATAAGATCTTTTCAATCACTAAAAGCTAACAATTACTAAAAAGTTCATAAAAGTATCTTTTCAGCTAGTTGTGCCAAACATACCTAAGTTTTGAACAAAAAGCTTGTTTACTCTTCTTATATTCATATTCCCACATCGGAAGAGTTTAGGAAATTTCCATCCTCCCTTGCCTATATAACTGTTGAGTTTACATTTCTCATAACAGGCAGCGAGTACTTCGATTTGCCTAACCGGCCTGATTAATTCGGCTCTGAGAGATTCGGCCGATTTTAGCGATTTCAAAATGATTTTTTACGATTTTTGTTAATTCTGATTTAGTTAATGATCTAAATCACGATTTTAATAACTCTGGTTAGGGGCATATTAATAAAGCATAGGGTATAGAAATGTTAATACACAATAAACTATTTTTTTAACACTAAAATTGGTTGAATATATTAATAAAGCACATTTTTAACACTAAAATTGGTTGAACATATCAATAAAGCATAAGGTATAGAAGTTGATAGACTTTTGATTGAAACGATTGAATTGCTAGAATCTGATAAAATGAAAAACTTGCATTTATATCAGAGCCAACTAATATAAATGCAATTTAATTTAAAATATACTAGTAACTTCGAGGTATATGCTATTTTTATGAAAATTAAAAAAAACTTGATTATGATCCAACTAATAGAAAACATTAAATTTGTGTTTCAATAAGATGTCATGTAATAGCACACCAAGAAGTAAATGGTACAAATCAAACGTACGACATTATGCAATAAAATAGATGTGCTTGTAAGTCCGTGAAATTGTCAAGAAATCCTACAAATTATTATAAACTTTTTTGTATACAACATTCAAGGCAAATTCGGTCCATTTTCGTTACATATCACAAACTTCAACCTAGATTGTATACAAAGTTTTTCCCGTGCATCATTTGATCCTCGGTAATATGAGCTTCAAGTTTAGTCACCAAAATTTGTATACAATTGCATAATCCAAATGAAAGATCTATATTTCTTGTAAGGATCACATACAACCTCTCTTCCAGCTTCAGCTCATGATTTAGTAAACTGGAACTTTCAATACTTTTAAGAAATTCAAGAGTATGCGTCTCATGTAAGAGGCCACTATCTAAACTGGATGAATAAGATGGATTCGAACTTAGATAATCTTTAACTCTGAATCTATGTGAAACAACATGTAATCATTGACCTTATTAAATTCTATATCTATTTCTATGTTTCAAGTTTCGGTATGAGTTATATAAATAGTGACACAGACACTTAAGACGATTGGTAAAGTAAAAAGAAGTGAAACACTTTGATGAATTCAATAGGAGTTACTGAATTACACAAAAAATAAGTATAAGGAGAGATAAATTGAAACTTATTCATGATTTGCTTTAATTTTGTCTTTCTCATTCTCAATATCAATAATTCAATACTTCAATAAAAAATGTTAAAAATGGACCAAGTTTAGTATCAAAGTAGGTGAATTGAGAACCGTATTTCTAAGGAAGGGAATTGCTCCTTTAAAGCAGAACAAAATCAACAAAAATTGATCCAAAACATACTAAACCGACTCTCTCCATTGACGAAACAAAGAAAACTACTCGACTGCCTATAAACACTCCTGTTACTGGGTGG